AGATCAAAACAAGGAAAGGGCCACGGGTGCTCCAGAGTGAAGTGCGGACATTATGCGAATAGAGGGCAGGATGCTCGATGCTCACACAGTGGCATCGCGGACAGAAAATATGTAACCGATTAATTTAGGTCAAGGATTTTCAGCCCCTCCTCGTGCGTAGGTAGCTAGCTAGCTGAACGGCAGTGAATTGGTGTTATTTTGGAATGTGGCTCGTTGGCCGTCCTGGCGGAGCACCCATCAATTTTAATATTTCTGCGAACTGTTACGAAACGAACAAACAGACAGCACTTAAAACATTCGAATACGAATGGGAGGAAAAACGCAGGCCCTCGGATTATGACTTCTCAATTTTCAAACACTTAATAATTGAACGCACTTTTATTCATGTGTGTGTATTTGATTATTGTTGGATTTTCGTCGATTGTTAAAAGTATGTTACATATTATAAGCGCTCAAAAAGAACTGGGTTTTCATGTTTTTTAAAATTTATTTGAAAGAATATTCTTTCTAAAATTATTTTAGGCGAGCGAAAACGCTCAAATGTATGCTACTTCTCGTTCAGATTAATAGAAAAACTAAGAAAACTGTGTATTCGGCCGAATAAAAATTATGTTGCCCAGGACCCTGAGCGTTCAATTGAGATGAAATCGAAAGCTTTTGTCTACACACAATTTCTATACACACACTCTTGGCGAGAGAGATGCGAAAAGAGAGCGAGAGAGCCGTTGCAGGTGAACATTTCTTGGCCTACGGCACACACTCGCACACAAACTCACAGTCAAATTTACCAGGACAATCCAGCACTCTCGCACAGGGCGCACAGCATCCGCTGGAAATGCCAGGGCAAAAGCTGCGCTGTCTGGGCGGCTCAAGCTTTTCACAGGTACCGCACACACACCACACCCACCCCCTGAGCTTGCTTTACAGCTGAGAGGAAATGTGTCAGCAGGGCACACTGGATTTTCTCAATTGGGGCACATTGAGATTGAAATGCAAGCCCATAAGCTCTATACGACGGTACAGTAGTCACCAATAAAGCAGGGAAATTTACAACGGCTATCAATAAAAATATTTTATAGTTCTTAACTTTAGCCAGAAGATGCGCATGTCCTAAATAGATAAATACATACACAAATTACTCGAGCATCCCTAGCATTTGTATGAACCATTAGGATAAAACAGATCATCAAAATTTTAATATTTATCGCAATAGCTTACGTTACGTTAATTCTCACCTAGTGTTTCATCGTGAATATCTCCCAACAGCTTTCCACTTGCTGATTCATCTTGATGATAATCCAATACCGTGTCTTCGTCTGCTTTTGTGACTTGAAATCTATCTGGCATATTTGTTATTCAAAGGCACTCTGAAAAAGAAGAAAATATTGTTAATGAACCCTAAGTCATGTTTTTGTTATATCACATCAAATATTTTATAACTTTCTAATGTCATATGATAGTGCGAGTGGAAGGGACTTTATTCATTTTGGAATCATCTGGAATCTCATTAACAGATAACGTTCTTTGAATTCGGGGCAATATCTCTTATATAATCGGTTGCATAATAAATGATTTTGTCAAAGTTCTTTTGGAATCAAATAGTCCCTAAAAAACATGACCCAATTTTACGGAAGCATGCGATACATTAATCTATGCAATTCGAAATACAGTCCATTGTTCGAATACAAGAAGAGTTTTTATATTTCAGTGTTAGGTACTAATATCATTCTGAAATATGGGTACATAGAAATTCTAAAATACATTTTTCGCTGACACTAAAATGCATGTGATTTCCCATACGTTAAGCTGAAGAGAAAGGCCCATAAGATAATACGATATGCAGATACATAAATTAAGTGTTTTGACTAGCATATGTACATATGTATGTAAGTATGTACATTCATGCGTACAAAATCTGCATCCAAGCTTCTTATCATGATCATTTCTCCTCTGAGATTTCGGATAGAATACAAGCAGTGAATGTGTGTACATACATATATGTATGCACATTGTGTGCGCAACGGTTCTTAATTCATAAAATTGGATTTGTATATGTGTACGTAAGAATACATGTATGGACACTTAATATCTTTACATACAAAATCATTAAATAGATTATCGTTCTTAAAAATCTGGCCTACACATATGTACACACATGCACACTCGTACAAGAGTGCATTTCATCAGGAACATGTGTACGTAAAAATATGCCTCGGATAATATGTACGGGTATGCCTGTATGTATGTACGTATTATCTAACAACAATCAAATCGCTGGGAACAGATACAGTACTTATTGGAGCAGTCGCACAATTAAAACAAATACCACAATGGCCAAAACAAACATTTATATGTACATATGTACATATGCACAGACATTTCATACGATTATGATACGGGAAAAATGAAATCTTTACGCGCAGCAAAACTTTTATTTCCATTTACTTGAAAAAGCGCCTGGTAATCGGGGATCGACGACACTCTGCTTTGGCTTGTAACTTCCTTTCTTGTTATTTATTAATTATTGTTACTCCTCTCCTCCTTTCCTCCTTATTGTTTAGTGAACTTTTCAATTGTACGAATAAAATAAAACTATCATATTAAAGGCGCATGAGTAATACAAAATGGTTTTCTACTGTATATAATTTGGAATCGCGAGTTGGGGGAAATGCTGTTGTATTAATGAAAAGTTTAATTGAAATCAAATGTAACGCATAGGAATCGACGCATGAGTGCGATTGTATTTTGGAAATTAGCACCCTAATTCCAATGATATGATACCATTTTTTGATAATTTTATTAAGCATTTGTGAACGCACAAATTTACGGTTTCTGGTCCAAATTTATCAAGCAGTTAAAAGTGGCCAACATGCGTACATATGTATATACATACGTACATGCATGCATATGTATATAATAAATATGGGCATACGTATTTAAACGTATGAATGTATCTACCAACTTATGATTTTACATTAAATCCAGCATTGAATTCTTCAGATTAAATAAGCCAACTTTAATACAGCTGTGTGTACATACATACATATGTACAGATGTGCGCCTTTCGACCATTTTTACGTTCATATTTATATTCATGTATTCATGTATATTCATACATTGTACTTTTGTTTATGATGTATGATGTATAGGTTGATGACAGGCATCATTCAAATATTTTGTCAAGAATTTTGATGATATCAATCAAATCAACATAGAAACAGCTGTGAAAAAAATACCATCCAGCGAAACATTCCAGTATTTAAATTTTTTTTTTTTGTCGTACCCCCAAAGAACGTTCATATATTAATATACCCATCGGTGGTGCTCTCTTTTTGAAAAATAATATAACTTTTTGCAAATATTTTAACTATTTTAATTGCATTATTTCATTAAAATAGCGTCTGCTAAGCTTGTTTGTTTTGTTCGTTCGCTTGGTATTTCGCGGGTTTTTCATATCGATGTTTCTGTAGAGTCAAAAGTCGCAGATATACTCGTTGTTTTATCGAGTATATGAAACAACGGAAAATAGTTTAAATTTTCTCCAAACTCAAATAAGATGTTAATTACATGTATAGATTATATTATATATCCCACACACATATTCCATTTGCCAGTCTATAAAACGATATTGCATATCTATATATATATATTTCGAGTGGGGTCACTTCCCCCCACCTTAACCCACTTGAACCAAGCTCGTTTCGTTTCCTACCCTGTTTAGGTCACACACCTTGCATTTTTCTATAGTATTTTTAGGTATTTTCTTTTTTTCCAGAATTTTTATAGCTCGTTTCTGTGTAAAAAATGTATTTTGTATAATTTGATTAAACCTTATTCTATGATCCGATCCAAATTAAATGAGTATTTATAATTGACAAATCTTTTAGGAAATTGATTCATTTATCATAGAAAAACATATGTTCGGAGCTGAGAGTCCTAACTGGCTTGTAATATTAAACAGAATATTAAAATTGAGGAATATGAACGCATCTTGTCGTTCTTCTTCAATATATTTCAAAATGACCGCCAAACTCAATTTAGCGCACAAAAAATACTGACATTTTACGCATCCAAATCGTGGTGGTTTTTCGAAATTGGCTCTCTTTTTCGTGGTGTAATGGAATGAAGACTCATTGGTGCTACATACATTTGATTTGTATGGGAAACATTTCAGCAACATGGGGAAATGAATAGGCAGCATTGTTCTGCAACTTTGTCACGGAATGAGCAACAAATCTGCATACCTTGGGAAAATGGATATTATGGGCTTGAGATATTGTTTGTAATTTCAGGATCCAATTAATTCAGAAACTACTCAGTCTCTATTTTAAAGATATTAACAAAATTTTGAAACTCACGGGACCCAATAATAGGTATCAGAACGGGGATAAATGTATTTATAAAACACAAAACATATGCATTAATAGGTAAAAAACATCTAAATCGAAGAAAAATGCAGTATTCATGTTTTAAAGTAGCTTGGAACAACAAATTTAACATCAATTAAAGGAAATACGGTATACAAAAGCCCATACGCAAAGAAGAAACTTGGTCGACCAGCAACAATGCCATAAAAAGGACTTCTGAAATCTAGCCAGTCTTGTAGAAAATTGATGTATCTATCGGATGAAATTATTTGTTTAGGGCTGAGAAGGCTAAGTAGCTAATAATATTAAACTGAATATCAAAATCATGGAATACGATTTCAATTAATAAAATAGAACGTTATACCATTGTCGGCCAGGGGGGTTTTTAATATTTCCACGAAATTTATGTAACTTTATTTTACGCATTACAGGGGTGGTCATTTATGTTTTTTAAGTAATTATTTGCAGCGGTTTAACAAAGGGTGCTCAACTTTTTAAATAGAGGGGTGTTAAGTGGGTTAAGTCTCGTTTGATCGCCGGATTGCCCTGGTTTTTTATGGTATGGTATTTAAATGGTATTTCTCGAAACTGAAATGGTATTTAACGGTATTTATTTGTTGGCCGGATGGTATTTTTTATCCTTGTCGTCACGGTCACGCTAATCCATAATTCTTTCGTTCGGCGTCATTTTTGCGGTGCTTGTCGAATTTTTGCAAAATTTTTGATTCCAATTGAAGGTAAGGTCGATTCTTAGTTTATTACTGTTTTTTTAAAAGTGTATTGAATGGAGTAATGATGTGCGGTGTTCGCTTGACTCGCGCAAAGACAAATCGCATTTTAATTGACAAAAAAAATGTGTGCGAATCCTACGCTCTGCGCCTGGACGCGTTTCTGCGCTAACACGTGTTTTCTAATAACGCGATGTGATTGAATATGTACATACCGACACACATTTGTGTAAGGGCGATCGGTATGGCGTATTACTTTTAATAAAATATGTTTGTACATCTATGCATATTGTGTGTATGTTCTTATGCATATGTATGTAAAATGCTGTGTACACATGTATCTTTTGACATGTGCATTCATCTTTAGATTCCTTGACTCGCAACGAATTTCATCAATGTTGATGCATGTGTGTGTATGAACGTACATATGTGTAGGGCGTGTATGCTTTGGCATCTTGAATAAGTGTTAAATAAGAATATGGAAATGGTGAAAAGTTATTAAATAAAATATTTGGTTTGTTAAAGAATTCCGTATTTATTCGAAATGGACGCTCCACCAGAGGGAAACGTAGAGGCCGAGTCCTGCAATGAGGTCGACGACGAGAAGTCTGTCAATTCCGACTGCCAGTCCATGTAAGTAATGCGCACTTGAGGCTTGAAGGCAACTTCTGAAGTTTGGAAATTGCAGGCCGGCTTACATGAATTCGGTATTGCGGCGGCAGTATTTGCAAGAAATGGTTAAAGCACTGCCAGTTCCAATTCAAAATAGAATTGTAGTGCTTAAAAATCTGCAGTTGGAGCATCTGAAGATCGAGGCCGAGTTCTTTGAGGAGGTATACAAGCTGGAGCAGAAATATCAGCTCAAGTACCAGCCCATGTTCGATAAGCGCAAGGACATTGTCATCGGGACAGTAGACCCCGCTGTGGAGAAGCCCAATTGGACGGAGCCCGAGAACCCTGAAACAGAGTCGGAGACCGAAGAACACTTCAGTGATTCACTAAAGGCCATCAAAAGTATTCCTCAAGATGCGAAGGGCATTCCCGGATTCTGGCTAACGGTTTTCCGTAATACTGCTATTCTGTCGGAAATGGTCCAACCCCACGATGAGCCAGCTATGCGCAAACTAACTGATATATCTATCAAATACGATGACGGGGTATGTAGAAAAGCAACTACGCTTCCATCCTTAGTTCGGCATAGTTAACTTTTGAACTCTTCCAGCACTCGTACACATTGGAGTTTCATTTCGATAAGAACGAGTACTTTTCGAACACAGTCCTTACAAAGCAGTACGTTCTGAAGTCCACTGTCGATCCAGATGATCCGTTCGCCTTTGAAGGACCAGAAATTTACAAATGCTCGGTAAGTTGAGCTGACCTGTTGACCTGTTCAATAGGATAACAACAATTAATATAATCAATTGATTTCAAGGGATGCAACATCACCTGGGAGAAGAAAATGAACCTAACTGTCAAGACGATCAGGAAGAAGCAGAAGCATAAGGAGCGTGGCGCAGTGCGCACCATTGTCAAACAGGTTCCAACCGATTCCTTCTTCAATTTCTTCAACCCACCAGAGGTTCCATCTGATAAGGAAGAAATCGATGATGAATCTCAGCAAGTAAGAACATCTCATCTCATTTTGTAATCAAATGCCATCGAAATTTCTTACTCTTTTTTTTGTATATTTTTTTCATTGCAGATACTGGCAACCGATTTTGAAATTGGTCACTTTTTGCGGGCCAGAATTATTCCAAAGGCGGTGCTTTACTTCACTGGTGACATTGTCGATGATGAGGACGATGAAGACGAAGAGGAGTTCGATGAAAACGAAGAGGAGGAGGATGACGATGAAGGTGCACCCCCAGCCAAGGGGCACAACAAACATGCTGGTAACAAGAAACAGTCGCCCAATGACTGCCCCAACCAGTAGTCACATCTACAAGATATGATGGCGGCGATTCATCAATTGGAATAGTGTTTACTGATATTATGTATATACATAATTCAAATTTAATTTGAAATATATTTTTGGTGAATTAAACTAAACGAAAGTGAACTACTACTAAAATGTGTGTGAAATTGATTTAAACTGGGAGTTTTCACTTCATGCTTGCTTTGCTCAGAAAACTTGGTCTGATATTTAATATTAGAACACTAAATCAAAAATCTGATAGTATCTTTAATGATCTCTCATACGATTCAATTGGTCACGTCTATTGGAAAACCATGAGCATATAATATAAATTAAATTCCGGTAGGATTCTATTTTATTAGGCTTTATAATAGGAACGAGCAGAAGAAATCATTTTTCGTGTTGCGCTACTGTTTTCCAGCTAATAATTTTAGCTCCTTTTTTGATAAGTTGTAAGGATAATGTAGACTAGTGGGGACGAAGATTTGCCCAGTAACGCGGCTAGAAACGGAAAGAGAGTAGTTTTGGGTCAAAAATACTATTAATTTAAGCTAAAAGCCAACTCGAACTTACTTGTCAAAGTTCTCTTCATAGCCGACCGTATAGTCAGCAGGTATTTTCGCCACCTTTTGAAGTGCTATGCACTCGGGCGGTGTCGAGTTGAGCGCGTAAAAAGGGTAATCAAAAGCATTCATGTAGATGTCAACGCAGAGTCCATGGCTGCCGAGATGCAGCTGACTGGCTACTGATGGTTGTGCCAGGCCACAGCTGCCCAGCATTATATTTCTGTGGCATGAGTATACAAAGGTTCCTTTATCACGACTAGAATGAAAGCATTGCACATGTTTGCCCGATTTCGAGTGATCCACTGCAATCGGATCAAATCCGGGACCTGCCATGTCACACGCTAAGCCAATGAAAGAGTAATTAATCAGTCGGTGTTGTAAAATTAAATGCATCGCAATATAATTACTATCTATGCTCTCGATCATATGTTGTGGTCCCAGTGAGCGACCCACAGCTGACGCAAGTTGGCCCCCAAAGCTAAATCCAAACATATAGCCTCGTTTAGTATCGAATCCATTTTTAATGAGAGTCAGAATGACTGACACAATGGCACCAGTAATGTTTTCGAAATTTGTATACAACCTGTGCGGCAAAAGGGTGTAGTATAAGATTTTACCGAACGATTACTGTGCATATTTCCACATTACCGCATATACGATGTACTTGCAATTACACTGTAATCAATACATATGACGCAGCCTCCACGATAATAGCTTAACCCTGGAATATACATGGGATTAAGCCAAGCTATGGGTAGATCACTATCTGCTTACGATCGATGAGCGCGAGGGACCAATCATCAGCACAACTTTGGATCCAGCCATGCAACACAATAGCAAATTTATCCGACGGGGAGCAACCAGAACCTTTTTGCAAATAGTCTTCATCAAAAGCGGATGCTTCTAAGGTTTTTGTGTTGTTTCTAGGAAGAATAGGTATACATAATCATGTACATATATGTATATGAATGTGTGCTGAATAGTCACTTACTTATAAAACATAAGTCGCATTGTTTTTTGAACATCATATTTGGTTCTCGGTCGGAAAGCTTCAATAGAAAATACTCTGCTTTGGAGACAACAACTTTCATTGAATGCAAATAGTACCTACATATGGTCTCATTTCGTGCAGCCAGATTTGGTGCGCGCCTTAAAATTGCATACTTTAGGTTCAGCTTAGAATGAGTCTTATAAACTAAAAGTAGTAAAATAATTACATTTAAACTGATAAATCGAAGATGTATCATTATCCACAATTTTTTATAGGAACATAAATGAGAAAACAGAGGTAACTGTAGTACGAATCTCTTGCGATTAAACCACTTTGTGAGAAATCAGTGGCCAGTTCCAGTTCCAGTTCCATGCTCTGTCAAATTGATAGGCTAAATGGTTCCAGCTACACGGGCCCCATACTGTAAGCCCACAAAATGAACTGAAATTGATGTTTCTTTTAATAAGCGGTTTTATTTAAAAATTTGCAGAAAAACATGATATATAAGTAACATTACCACCAACAATATCTTTTTAAATCTCGTATCTCAATTTTTGTCGGCTATTCATTAGCATTTCCCTCTTGGTTTGATCATACATACATTCATATTTATGCAGAACATTTTTCATTGTCATCAAAGTCTAATGTGTTCAGTACATTAACGTCTAGTTCTGGGTCCGCATACTCAAGAATATTAAAGTCATCGCCTATTTCGGAGGTTAGCGATTTCAGTAAATCATCATCATCGCCTTCACCCAGCCCCCCCAAAAGATCACCGAATCCAACATTTTCCAATTCTACAGCAGAAGCTGTGCCCTCCTGCGACTCGTTCATCTTCACATCTTGCTCTAGGGTCCTGCCATCCGTTGGCGGAGCTTTTCCACTTACGCTTAGCATCGGATTGTTCTGTGTTAGGGGTGTATTCGACATCATGCCCATCCGCAGAACATCATTTTGTAAAAATAATTCAGAATTAGATCCCATGAGCATAGGTTCTGAACTATTTTTCTGCAATAGATTCCTTAGCTTTTTGTCTCCAATTGGCTCGGTTCCATAAACAGAATTCAACTCCAATCGATTGTCTACTGTGGACATTTTCACAGTGGTTGATGTTGATGCTGCTGATGCATGAACAATTGCTCTTTGCATCGGGGCCTTGACCACAAGAGTTTCATTTATGCTTGGGGTCGCAAGATGCGGATTAACTGCGACTGGCGTCGGGCCGCCCACATAGCACGAGTCATATTGATTGCCATCTGAACAGAAGGGAGATTCGTTTGTATTAAACGTAGGTACTCTTGATTATTATACTTACTATAAGTGACAAACATATTCGACTGCTCCTCTTTTAATTTACTTTGATGCTTCCATTGTCGTCCAATGTCTTCTTGCTTTTGGGGCTTTGTTGGCAGAGGGATCTTGTTTTGTTCACGCCTCTGCCTTAATGCCGAGCGGTTATCCTTTGCTTTTTGCAAGAACGGCGCCTTTTTTTCGTTGCACAAGGAGCGCCATCTTTTTAGAATTTGTTTACACCGATCATTCCAGTTGGGAAACAAATCCTTCAGATTCGGATGCTCAGTATTGGCATATAGTACAGCCGAAATGGTTGCCATTAGACCAAGATCTGTAACAAGAAATATGCTATTGATATTGAACTTAAAATGTACAATGGATGGGTTTACCCTCGTCCTTGCGCATTTTTTCAGCGGTTTTCTGTGTCCCAGCATTCAAACTTTCTGTGACAGGCTCCACAGGCTTGTGCTCTTCCTCGACTCTCTTTTCGGTCTGCAAACACACTTGACCCATCATGCTCTGCATTTTCTGCTTATTTGCATTCTTTGCACTCAAATGATCCGGCTGTGGGTGATAGTGCAGCTGTTGAGGCGGATTAGCAACTACATTCCCCGGCAAATATATCTGATTGTGGAACTTCTGATCCGGCACAATCTGTTGAGGCACTACGTAGTTATCGACCAACACAACAGGTGATTCGCTGCAAATATCAAAAGAAATAGTCAAAGCTTTACCTCACCGAAATCGGAAATATGCACTTACCGCATTGGTTTTTCCATATTTTCAGATGATGTAACCGAGTTCACAGACGTATTCATTCCGTCCAACTCTGAAATATTCGGCGAGGCCAAGGAATCTAAGGGATTCCGGTTGGCCAGCACAGTATTCGTTAGTTCAGATTGTGAAGGATCTGTATATAGAAGATAAATTAATTCATTAAAAGTTGCATCCTCAAATAACAGCTGTGATTCGTGTGCTTACCAAAAACGTTTGCTGTAGATCCATTCGCTGTTTTCGGCTGGAGTCCGGGTCCAATTGATATTTGCTCTGTCAAGGTATTTTTATTTTCAGGCGGATTTTTCTCAGCTTTCACCTTTTTCAACGACTTGGCAGGACTCTTATTCGCCGGTGCAGCTTCGCCCTGATCGGGGCTTTTGCCTTCGACACGCGTAAAATACATTTTCATTGATGCGTCTATTTCATCAGAAGAGTCTGATTCTCCGAGCACAAGATCGCCCGATTCCAATAGAGGCTTTCCAAAAAAGGCTTCTTGCAAGTACGGTGGATACGCTTCAATTAGCTTATTTTTCTGCTTTTTGCGTATTATTTTCTTCTTTTTGTCCACAACCATAATAGCATTCATCTGGTCGGCTGCTGGTGCATCCTCATTGTCCTTTTTGAGAGCTCGATTGCGAACTGAGAACCCGCCAATTCCCAATTTCTGCAAGTTGCGCTGCCGTTTCTTCCGCAAAATATGCACACCCTCGTCATTTGTGGTAATGGTGAAACCCTCGGGTATGGGATTCTCCGTGCCATCCCAGACCATGCCGTCTTTGTACTTCTCGCACTGAGCCTCCTCAGCAGTCGCGGCATCACCCTGAGAGTCCTTGCCATTTCCAATTGTTTGTCGCATCTTTCTCTTGCGCTTGATCTCAGTGGACAGGGACTTTATCATGGTTAATCCACTCTCACTCAGGCACACACCGTCAATCCAATGTATAGCTTCTGGAGTTATCTCCACCAGATCGCTTGACAAAGTCATTTGACTTTGATCCGAGCCACTGGCATTCTTTCCATCTGACCCACCCGCTCCACTGCTTGGATGGGCCGATACCTTATTGGACTGTGTTTGGGTGGAGCTACCGGGTTTTCCATCGGTCAATGACAGCGGTGGCTTTCCAGAGCAACGACACTTTAAGCACTTGTAGACATTCTGGTCATAGTACTCGATGGTGAGCTGAGCGTTTATGGAGTCGCACTGGAAATGCGACCAGAGCTCGCAGTTTTCACATTGAATTATCATTTCGCCCGTACTGTAAGGATTCCGACACACTGAACAAGCCGACTGGCTGGTACATGAGGGGCACTCGGGCATGTTGGAGTCGCCATAATCACTCTTTTCCGTGGGATTCACGCCGCACTTTTGGCATAGCGTACAGAATGAGCACTTCCAGTTGCCAGTGGGAACAGTCTCCAGTGGGGGATTGACACAATAAATGTGATATGAAATATCACATTCATCGCACAGAAGCAGCCGCGCTTCGTCATTTTTCTTGCCACATCCCTCGCACACCGTACAGTCTAGACAACGCCAACCCTTCTGTAGAATTCCCTTGGAGGGCTTGACACTGGCACAATACGAGTGATAGCATTGGCCGCACTGGGCGCAGGTGATCATTACAGAGTCACTTTCAATACCCAATGAACCGCACATGACGCAAATATCCTGATTCAGCGTGAACTTATCTCGGTTTGAGCACAATACCATTTTCTTGTCGCTGGTTAGGTCCGCATCGATGTTCCGATTTACATACCGATCGTTTGAAAGGTTTGGCAGCACAATCGTCCGTCCTTTGCCACGAGTGCTGCGTTTTTTGTTTATTTGCGAGAGAACGCCCATGCGCTGAAGAACAAATTTTCCACTCTTTCCACGTACGTTTGACAGACACATCTTCTTTTTACCAGTGGGCGGCATCTTCTGCACATCCTCAGTGGATACCTCCGCAATGGGTTTGCTCTCTAAGGGATCAACAAGTTCCATGTCTTTTACACTCAACTGCTCTGCTGACGAGTCCATGGCAGTCAACACGATCGAGTCAATCAACTGTTGAGGCTGGGCAGGGCCAGAGGAATTTAGCTTGCAGTTCGGACAGACGTAATCATAGTCCGGATTCTGTTCTTTTTTCTTGTGATAGGCCGTAAGGTCTGCTTCTTCATCACACGTACTGTGTACAAATCTAAAAATGAAAGCATTCATAAATGTACAATGCAGGGAACTCAATGCTTTTAACATACTTGTGGCACCAGCTACATTTCACCATTTCCTTATGGGATGCTGCTCTATATGCTTTTTGACAAATCGGGCATGAAAATCCTTTATTTCGCTGTTGATAACAAGAGTCGCAGATAGTGTAGTGGCTATGCCAACGAGAGGAGCTACCACCACCAGGAGTCCTAGATCCACAGTCCGTGCAAACTCGACAGCGCTAAAATATTCAATTATCACACAAACATAAGTATGTACATTGTACATACAAACATATGTATATATTTACATCCAACTTACATTGCATTTCCATCCATATTTCGGAATTGCTGAGATTACGGGCCGAAAACACGAGGCGTGATATATCTTTTGACACTGCTCACATTTCACGTATTTCAAATCATTTGAATCTTGCTGTCGACAAATTTGGCATTTGGTACAGCGAGCACAGTTCCATCCAGAACGGGTGTCTGCAAAGAAATCGAAACGTAGCAGTGGACTAGCCAAGAAATGAATTGGGACAGAAGGAAGAACATTACCTGGCATGTTGGCCAAACCGATGCAGGTCGAATGGAAATGGTCTCCACAGGTGCTACACATAATCAGCTTCGATAGATCCCCCAGCGAAGAACATGATAGACACTCAACGTTATTGTCACTACCTGCAACGCAACAAATTACACCAATTTATAGTTCAAAGTTCAAGGGATGTATCTTATCTATGAGTCTTACATATCAAAGGCACTTGGCTCAAATGCTCTGTACAAAATACTGTAAAGCTCTCCAATATTAGCAGACATCCAGCGGCAGCGGCACACGGCCAATGATGAACTTGGCGGCAGTTCATCTTGCAATTAATGGAGGCTCCATATCGGCCACAGAAATTGCATTTCTGTTCTAAGAACTCGCCAATATGGTTCACAAAATATGCAGCATCCAAGTCAGTCATCTGGCTTTTGCGCATTGACCACATTACACACATTCGATGCACATAAACGAAGCCCTCGTCGAGGAACTGTGAAGGATGCACTATCTCTGCTTGGCCGATTTTGTCCAACTCATAGTTGCTCTCGGCCGTGTAAATGCCTTCCTGTTTGGAGCCATAAAACGGTCTACTCCCATCTTCTGTCAGCCGATCAGGTGGATATTCATCTTTGATGTCCGCGGGAGCCTTTAGTTGGAGAATCGTCCCCTGGCCCAAGGCACTTCTTTCTCCGAGATTGCATAAACAGCACACCTTTCCCGGAAACTGTTCGGGCAAGAATGGAAGTTCATCGCCCACCGCAGGCTTCTCTTCAACGTTTGCTACCACGTTAGTATTCATTTATATTATTAATTCCTTGCGCTTTACGTAAAAAAACATAAATTCGGCGCTTTTTTTATTTTGTATACATTCATGAACTGAATAGGTTCACCTTAACCCACTTAACCACCCATTAAAAGTCACATTTTTAAACAGGTGAACCACTTAAGTTAAACTGCGGAAAGTTATACTTTTCTTTTTGTAAATTGTCCTAGTAGATCATTGCTCACAACAAAAATTACCACGATATCTTTCACCTGAACTTTGCTAAAATTATTCAAGTTTCATTATTTTCGTAGGGGGTTAATGGGTTGAACCTTCTTTATTTGATTGGAAATTATGTTCGTCGATGTTTATATGCGGTTTAATATTACTAGCTAGCTAGAACGTTCGGCACTGTATATATAATAATTTTATCTGATAAAGTTATCAAATTTCTCTAAGATTAACTAGTTCCAAGTACAATTTTTTATTGGATTGCTTATAAAATATGGTTTAAGCAAAAAGGTCTTCAACAATTTACACAAACTTAATGTTTTTACATGGTAACAACATTTGTTACACATCTACTACATACGTATATGTATTTCTGAAAGGAACTTGTACTGGAACCATAAACGAACCACACATGAAGTAATTGTGATAAGATTAAATTAAGAAAAAACAAGACAAGATCCAAATTTAAGTTAGATAAGAACATGTAAATAAGCTTTTAAGATGGCTATTTATCGTCCACGAGGCACACTAGCCCGAGTAATTCATGCTAAATTCCACAACGACAACTCCTTGGACAACATAGACACTCGAAGGGTATGGAGTGAGTTTTTGATTCTATAAATCGAACTAATAGTTTTTTGCCTTCAAATTCTAGTGGTACTCATTGGCTCACGCGTTGCCTTCGAGATTTCAGTCGAAATTTGTGCCCCTCGAGCAGCCGGACAGCACCACAGTACTTTGGTTGGAGCGCACTAAATCGAACAGCACAAACATATGGATGCACCTATGGCACGCGTTGGCACGGTCTATTCTTCAGTTTTTCATGACTCAAACCGATATCAATGGATTTCTAAAACGTGGCTCAATGTTTATTTTATCAGAGGATCAATTTAACAAGTTGCTTGTAGCAGGGGGCTTTTCCGCAACATCGGAGCCGGTATAATCATTTCATGTTGAACAGAAAACAAAAATTAACGAGTATAATATTTCAGGTTACGCTATTGGATATCGGTGCCGGCGACGGCGAAATCTCATTGCGAGTGGCCAACACTGTGGCCGAACTAAGTGGAAATGCCGGCCTTAGAGTGTTTGCGACTGAGGCTAGTTGGACAATGCGAGATAGACTGAAGAAACTCAATTTCAATGTGATTACGGAGATCGGAGGCTTGCAAAACATGGAGCTGATATTATGCCTGAACGTGCTAGATAGATGTTTTGACCCTTTCAAACTCTTGGAAGATATTCACAATGCACTGTCGCCTGGGGGTAGAGCTGTAATAGCCCTAGTGCTTCCATACATGCATTATGTTGAGACAAATACTTCGCATCTGCCAATTCGTCCACTCCTAGAGAGCAGCAACAACGGACGCCAAGCTTCTTTCGAAGAAGAGGCCACAAAGTTTATGGAGCTACTGGAAAACTGTGGTTTCAAAGTAGAGTCCTGGACGAAAGCTCCATATCTGTGCGAAGGAGACCTTCATCAGTCATTTTATTGGCTCATTGATCTAATTGTTGTAATTTCAAAGAAGGTATCTTAGACCAGACCCCATATCGGTCTCCAAAAAACTCGAAAATCTCCAGTTTACAAAATGCATCTAAAACTTTGCGACCGCGAGTACGAAAAATTAAGCTTGGATTCCTAAATTCTTTCTAAAATAAGTTAGTGGCTATGTCGCGAAGCTGAGCATTTATACTTAATATATACATAGGCCATAAAATAGATATCAAATTATACTTGTGTAATAAATTACCAAAAATGTAATTTACAAAACCTGTTTGAAATGATTGCATGGGACTATATTGATGCATCCGCGTGTCGAAACACTAAAAAGAAACCGTTCTAAAGTTGAAAAAAGTTTATTACATTGAAATATAACAGTTTAGGAACTCTTTTTTCACATATTTTGGAATGTAACAGATACGGGATACTTAAGAATAGATATTTATGTGGTGGGAATATAACAGATAAGTCTTTGAAGTCTCTGATCAAAAATATTTCTTAAAAAAACAAAGTCAACTTTTTATACCCCTTAAGGGGGTATTATTTAGAATATGTATTGATATTTGTGTATAAGAACTCTTTCAAAGAGTTCAATCTTATGAATAATAATATCTCAGTATTTGGGGTTCGTAAATATTACCTCCAGGTAGTTGTTGGTGTATACAATCATTTCAGAGTCTTCGGCACAATGATTACGCAATGGCAATATTCCGCGATAGGGGTTCTCGGCGATATTGTACGCTCGTTTGATGACAATATCGTTCTCTCTGGCCAACTCATTGAATACTGAATAATTGGAAAGGGCTTGAACCTTTGATATAGATGTAAAACAGATTGGCGCACCATAGGTATGAAGAATATTGGTGAGACATTCCGGCCAATGGCGATCGTCTGGTTCCTCTCTCTCTACCGAACGGGGATAAAATTGCTTAACAAGAAGATTGGTCATGTTTCCGATGCCGGTTAAATCGGGTTGAAGCATGATAATCAGAGTCGGATCTATTTTGTTTGTCTTTGAAAAACGTGTAAACGTAAAAGGAATAATTCGTTTTGCAACTGTTCTCTTTAGATCTGCCACGCAAATAATCGAGTCCACAGGCTCCTGGGGCTTCAGCATGTTTCCAATAAAGTACAATTCCAAATTTTGTACACTTTCGTACTGGAGAAAGAAGAACTTTAGATGCATTTCTTCAAAGTAGCGTAGACACTCACTCGTTGCTCCCACAATGTACACAATGACAGCCTTATCTGGTTCTGCCACAATGCTAATCTGGGTCAAAGCTAGACAAACGGTGGCAATTGTACTAAAGGAGGAACAAGCAGCAAACAGATCGTACTGCTGAAGAGATTTCCATGGTCTGTCGCTCACCTCCAGCAACGTAGCATTGTAGAATGCCTCAACTAGATGGCTCTCTGGAATGATGCTGCTTCTGTGGAATTCTTTGATTTGAAATTCATAGTCCAGCAGTCGGTAGGGACTGTAGAGGAGTGCTAGGGTCCGACACACATTCGGCGTGTGATTATCCTTGTCGAGATGCCGATGGTTCTCAGAGCAGTATGCCACGCCAGCACAGCCTGCGCAAACATTAAGAGGCGTGGTTCGATAGCAAATCACGCAGAAACCAGGATTTGCAAGGATTTCTTTCTCGCGCAAGGAAAGAGGTCGCCGGAGCTTCACGCTCAGGATGAGCTTCAATTGAGAAATAGCCTGGTTCAGCATGGTTCGGGACAGAACAATACCTTGCAGAAAAAGAGGATGATCGATGCTCTCCACCTGTTGAATATCCTGGAAAATCCTGCAGAAGTCGCGGTGCTCCAGATCCTCAGTAAGATGGGCAACACTGCAATATCGTTGCATTTTGCAACCGTTGCACAACAACTCGGCAGTTTTCTCATGATTAGGCTCGTGATTGCCGACCTCCTCATTTGCCTCCTTTCCCAGTAATCGCATGGCTTGCAAAACACGGGCCTGGTTGTACACACAAACGCAGCACTGTAAAGACGATCCGTACGATTCCACATTAACTTTGACATCCATCTTAACGCGATTTGCATTTGACGCAGGAACTTGCTCGGCTGCCGTCGCCTAGTGTTCCGCTGTTATAAAAAAAAACATTAAAACGGCGCCTTATTTCCGCCTTATCTAGAATCCTATCGTCGTGTAACCGTGTAAGCCAAGTCAGTTCCACCTTATAAACAAAAATCAGCTGACTGTAACGTAACTGTACTAGGATTTAAACTGGATTTAACTTGAAATCTGGTGGAATAGAAATATCGATGCATCGATTAATTTATTTGGGCTGCAAATCTAAATACGCGCTCCGCGCTACAGCACTTAAATTATTCTGCAAAGCAGTAAAAAATTAGAAATTATAAATTTCCTCGTTAGGAGATTACTTAATTGCGCTTGCTTAATTTTCAAGAATACGAAATCTTGTTTTCCTCTTCAACTATCGATACTATGATGGGGCGTGTCACGTCACGCTGTTAACAATATGTTTTCACGTCACTATCATTGTTTTGATTTTTAAGGCAACATGTCAGAAATTAAAGATGAAAAGCAGAAAACCAGTAATCCTGAAAGTAAGCCAGAGAGATCGCGTGGAAACAAGAGGAGAGACAGGAAGGAAAAGGTCAATCCGACCGTCAAGATAGTGATGCGGCACTTGCCGCCAACAATGACGGAGAAGGAATTCTTAGACCAAGTGGGGCCGCTGCCGGAAAGCGACTCCTACTATTATTGCCAAGCAGATTGGTCTCTGGGCCATGACGCGACATGCCGAGCCTACATCGACATGACCCTAAAGGATAACACCGAGCTTCTGCAATTTCGCGATCGATTTGATGGATACGTGTTCGTGGATCAATATGGCGTGGAATACCATGCAATGGTGGAGTATGCTCCCTTCCAGTGCTTCCTTAAGAACAAGTCCCGAACTGATGACAAGGTGAATACAATTGAGGCCGAGGCGCACTACCAGGCTTTTCTGCAGAAGCTGGCTGATGAGCGAGAAGAGGCAACCCGCATGGGTGAAGTTAAGATCGACCTGACGTTCGACCGAAAATCTGACGACAGGGTGAGGTCCACGCCGTTGCTTCAATACCTAGCCAACAAAAAGGAAAAGCGGCGGGAAGAAGCCCGAAAACGGAATGAGGAGAAAAAAAAGCATCGCGAGGAGCAAAAGCAGGTCAGACTGATGGAACAGTCGGAAAGCAGCAAACCGAAAGAGGCCGCTGCTGATGTCAAAAAGGATACAGGCACCAAGCCCAAGGCCGGCGGTAAAGATATTCAATCCCAAAATCAAACAACTGAAGGCACCAAGAATTCGCGGTCAAAACGACGGACGGAGCGCGACCAACGTCGACGTGAAGAGCATGAGCAGCGAAAGCTGGACCGAGAACGTGACCAGAGAGACTTAAAGAATCCCGAGCGCCAAGATAACACCGATAAGGAAAAGCCATCGAGCTATAAAAATGGCAAAAAATCGAAACAGTTGAAAGATTTCAACAAGACAGAAAAAGATATCGCTATTTTGAGAAAAGAAAACAAATCGGATATAAAGAAATCTGAAGAATTGCCATCGGGTTCCAAGAAAACGATTGTAGATGCTTGTTTGAAAACGACGCAGGCACAATCGAAGGAAGAAATCAGCGCTCCAGATACCATACAGAAAAATGTACAAGCTGGCAGCGATCAATCGGAAAATGACAATTCGGCAGCTTCCACGGTTAAGCAAGCAGGACCATCTAGGTCAAAAAGTTTCGATGATAACCGAAAGTCCAGCTTTCGTCAATCCGAGGAGCGTCGCATTCGAAATAAGGTAGTCACTCAACTTATATTTAAAAAAAATTTGAAATTATATTTTTTGCTTGCAGGATCGTCCCTCCATTGCTATATATCAGCCAAAGGCTCGCGTCCGTAAGGGATCGGGAGATCAGTCTCAAAATAGCAACAAAGACGGCACCAAATCGCGCGAGGAGCCAATTTCGGATGGAGAGGTTTCTATAGCTGAAGAAAAGACGGCTAGGAAAAACAAGAGGCCAGGTCGACGCAATAAGTCAAAGCCCTGCGAGGGTATATCCAAGTCTTCAGAGAATAGCTGCAGTGCAAATATCTTGGCCACCGTGAAATAAGGAAAATATTTTTATTTTTAAATAAATGAACGTTCACTCTTGGGATGGCGCAGTTCCGTCAGTAGAACTCGCTCTCCATATCCATCTGTGTACACGTTTTCTGATTATTCTTAACCTGATCCTGCGACTGGTACATGTGGGCCACCTGATTGGCATCTGTTGCGTTTTCGCTGCTCTTATCATCCCGAATTCGAATGAATCTGGGAAACCGAAGCGAAATACCTCGCTCGGTGTCTACGATTCCTATTGCTGCTCTATGGATGGGGCTAAGAGAGAGGTCTGCGCACTTTACTTCCCACACCTGAGCCGGTTCAAACCAGTGGTCCGGCTCCAAGCTTGAGTCATATCTAAAGTACGACTTGGCACTGGGTATGACATGTTTGCCCAGAAATTCAGAATGTATCCGCAAATCTTCATCAGTAAAGCCTAAAAAGGAGCCAATTTAGTGAACGCGAGGTCAATAAATATCAAATTAAAATAGTACCTGTTCCAATTTTACAGATGCTCTGGTATTCCTCGTTTTCGGTATCATAGCAGGCAAGCAGGAATCCGCCATAGGTGCCGGTTCGACGTCCCTTTCCTTTATAGCCGCCAATTACCACAAGATCCAGGGAGTCCCCAACATTTGACAAATAATCCTTTTTCAACTTGAGCCAATTCCTTGATCTTTTGGCGATTTCATACGTAGCTTCCTCATCTAGTGTCTTTACCATGAGTCCCTCACAATTACCTGTTAGAAAATTCATTTAATTTAATTTTTGGAAATGGCTTTGTGCTGAATGTGTTCGACTGACCTTTGACCGATTCCTCTAAAAATTGCTGCACTTCATCCATATCGTTAGTGTCCAGAGCTGTGGCGAATTTCCATTCACCTTCGACCTCCTGGAAGTGCTCCAGCAGCAGCTTGCGCCGCTCTGACAATGGGCTTGTAACAAGCGTCTTACCATTGATATATAGAAGATCGAATATGTAAACGCAGACCTGAACTTTGATCTCTTCAATGTCCACGTTTTTTCTTTTACGCGTACTCAGTACTTGGAATGGCAAAATCTGCTTTCGCTCAACGTCCCACGCAACGATTTCGCTATCAATGATATAAGACTGCACTGCGCCTTTGAGTAAACCCTTGCTCCTAGCAATCAAATCCGGATACTTTGCCGTATTGTTCTCCGAATTGCGCGAAAAAATGCTTATCTCTCCCTGCTCGTTGCAGTGAATCTGGGCTCGTTCCCCGTCATATTTCCACTCACACGTTATGTGCATGCTCCCGAAACGCTCAAACACCTCATGGACTCCTTTTGTTGGTTGGGCGAGCATTGGCCTAAGCGGCATGCCTGGATGCATGGGGCAGCGTTCTTGGAGCTCCTTGATGTCATGCTTCAATATGGCAGGAATGATAATATCGTAGTTGGGGCATTGGCTGGAAAATATGTATTTTAATATGTATATGCATACTCTGCTTTTCTCACAAGTTCATACCTATAGGCGGTTTTCAGCAACAAGGTAGTCTCCGTTATTTCATCTTTGTAAACGTCGACTATTTTGTTGGCCTTGCAGTCGTCAATGTGATTTTTCTTAACCAAAGCAATGGCAAGAGCGGTGAGAAGACTTTGCTCTGCGATGCCAATGCGTAACTTGCCGATCAGGGAGCGTATGAAGAAGCGAGCTTCAGATGATCGACAGGCCACAAAGACATCATAGACAAGAGTCATCTTGGACTGACCAGATATCTTGGCTATTTCTCTCAACTTGCTGAATACTCCTCGAATGTTCAGTGGTGCAGGCTGAAACATCATGCGTTGAGAAACACGCGATTGCTCGGCGACAATGCCCAGGTCGCCGGTTAAGTGGGTTTGAGATTTTATGTGTGCCAAGTTGCGGCCCGTAGCTTTGCAGATTGCCTTCATTAGCGTTGTCTCTGCCACACCAAGTTCCAACCCCTCGTAGGCGGGGGCCAGCTGATTAATACTGAGGTAAACACTGGGCACCAGGTCATTTGGGCTTACCAGCATAACCGAGCAGAAAAAGTTGCTTAACGTATCAATCATCTTGAGGCGGCCTTTGGTCTCTTCTATGACTTGAAACGTTCTAGCTAACGCCAAATACGGTGTCCTGGAAGAGTTATTTCATTAAATTACAGCTCTGACTGAGAATGGATTCAATTCACTTACACCGCTTTGGCCGCCCAGTATGCGTCCTTCAGGGGATGATAGGCTTCATTCGACGGGTCGTAGTTTTCCACTTCGTCTTTGCTATCTTTAGATGTGGTGTTCAATCCAATTGTGGTTACTTTCCGATCAACTTTGCCGTCAGTCGGCTCTTCCTTAATGTCCATAGCTTCAATTGTGGTTGGATTTGGATCAACACGTTTTGGTTCCGTCTTAACGTCAGCAGTCTCATCTTCACACTTGATTTTTGGTTCGTTTTCAGGCAAATCAATCTTCGACTTAATTCTATTCGAAAAATTGCGAAAACGATTGTTAGTTGCATTTTGTCAAATAAAATGCATTTCGGTCTTACTTGGCAACTGTTTTGGTTTTGCTAGGGCTCTCCGGCACATCGGATTTTTGCTTAAAATAGGAACTGTTGTGGAAAATAAAAGCAGGGATTAGGCAAGTATAGTAGAGTTAATACAAATAAACATTTACGTTATGGACGACTGTTGCATTTTGATGCAATTTTAAAACAAATGCAAATTAGCGCAGAAATTTTTTGTTGCTTCCCGCCAGTAATAGTATCGAAGTATCGAGTATCGTTTTGCATCCGTGCTAAGTGTGACCAAGTTTTAACACAAAACATATGCAATCTAAGATAAATGCAATATTAATGTTTCAAAGCATCTTGGTACGACAAATTAAACATCATTTAAAGGAAATACGGTATACAAAAGTCCATACGCATAGAAGAAACTTGGTTGACCAGCAACAATGACGTCGCAGTTAGTCAACATTTACGTTTTTGCTTGAACCTTTTTATGGAAACAATGCAATAAAAATGACTTCTGACTTCTTGTAGAAAATTGATGTATCAATCGGATAAAATTATTTGCTTAGGGCTGAAAGGGCTAACTAGCTAGTAATATTAAACTGAATGTCAAAATCTTGAAATACAATTTCAATCAATACAGTATAAAGTTTTCCCATTGTTGACCAGGGAGGCATTTAATATTTGCACGAAATTTATGTAACTTTAACATAATTTACGCATTTCAGCTGAAAGATGTCGGTGGTCATTTTTGTTTTGCAAGTAAAGAGTTGGATGTAGCTGTAAGGAGCCTTTACAAACAGTATTATTTTTCGCGGTTTAACAAGGTGCTCAACTTTTTATATAGAGGGGTGTTAAGTGGCTTTTTTATGGTATGGTATTTAAATGGTATTTCTCGATACTGAAATGGTATTTAATGGTTTTTATTTGTTGGCCGGATGGTATTTTTTATTGTTATCGTCACGGTCACGCTGGTGAGGGCTTGTTGTAAAAAATTAAAATAAAAAAAAAATAAAAATAAAGCAAGAATATGGCGGATGAAATTACTCGAATGAACCTGTCGGCTATCAAGAAAATAGATCCATACGCCAAGGAGATCGTTGACTCTTCGTCGCATGTCGCATTCTACACTTTTAACTCGGAAATGGGAATGGGAGAATGGGAGAAAACTGACGTCGAGGGAGCTTTTTTCATATATCACCGCAACGCCAAGCCATATCACAGCATTTTCATTAATAACCGACTAAACACAACTTCATTTGTAGAGCCAATAACTGGGAGCCTGGAGTTACAGTCGCAGCCCCCTTTCCTTCTCTACCGTAACGAACGCTCCCGTATACGCGGATTTTGGTTCTATAACAGCGACGAGTGCGACCGCATGAACAGTGTAGTGAACAGCTTACTGCAGAATAAGGAATCGAATGGACAGTTGCCGAATACTAATACGGCCCCTTCGTTTGTGATCCCAAAGCACGACAATGCAAGCATATTTAATATGCTGAGCAAAGCCCAGAAGGAGTACAACGCACAGTGCAACAGCCAGTCCAAGCCAATGCAACCGGAAAATGTGACGCCCGGTAATGTGCTCAAGTTCTTCGAATCGGCGAAGCAAGCTACGGCGGAGTCGCTGTTCAATCGCGTGCAGCCGCTTTCAGTGGATCAATTGGAGAAGCAACAGCGTGCAGCAACGCCTAGTGAAGGCTTAATTCCGTCATCGAATATAGAAGCCCCTTCCGAGAGCAGGCTATCGCCTTTTCAGAAGCCGTCGTTGAATGCTCAACCCTTGAAAATCGGATCTCCATTGATGGCAAACGAAGACGCTGGTAACTGCCTCCGGCGATTGCTGGTGGGAGACCAGCCTGAAGTAAAGCCGGCCCTTATGCCACCTTCCATGTTCGATGCACCCAACGGCAACCCGGAGTTCGCGAGGCAGCCGCCCGTGCAGCCATTAAGCTCGTCCCGATTCGTGCAGGCCTTCACTTATCTTATCCAAAACGATAAGGAGTTTGTCAATAAGTTGCACAGAGCATATTTGAAATTTGATGAAGATTCTTATTAAAACATGAAATATGTATATGATTTTTTTTTATTTGTGTTTTTGTTAGCATTACTGTTGAAGCAAATCAATCACCACAACGCACACAAGAAACTGGCCCGATCATGTCGGACCACTGATTAAACATCCATTCAAATCGTCCTTATAATTTGATGCATTCAAATCTCATGTTTTCGTCTGTCACTAGTTCAGAGCTCAAAGTCATTTCCAATTCAGGCGGCTATCAGAGTTTTCAAATAATAAACACACAGATCAAGAAGCATAATTTTGTTCTAACATTGCATGCTAATCTTTAATAGGCGTACAAGACGTACATTCTAAGGAAGGTCTAAAGAAGATCTCGCCCGATAGCAAGATAGCCGACTAATTAAATTATGTATGTAGAGTTCAGGCTTGGGACGCACTGCTTCACAACAATTATAAATAAAACATCAATGTGATTATAGTAGTAGTAAATAAATTGGTAAGAAAATGCAGAAAAAAAAACGGATGTCAAAATGAATGGATTGCTTTGAGGAAACGATGGGCCGTGCCTGGTGGGAATATTTATTTTAAGGATCCAAGCCACAAACATCAGAAAGACATTTCAGGTTAATATATCTTTATTTACAAAATCAGTTGGAAAGCCAAAAAGGCACACAAAAGATAATTGCATGGCAAATTGAATTCAATAAACATAGTTTTAGTAACAACAAATATCAACAACTTTTTTATTTAAATTAAAACTTTCAATTTCGAAAGGAAAAAGTACATAAAACAAAACAACCACATTCTAAAATCGATATGGCTTCCCCCTGATCCTGATCCGGATGTTGCGAATGCGGTTAAATTCTTGGAGTAGCCCTCAAAAGAGACTACACACTGATAAGAATCCACATCATCATCGGCATCATACACTGCCACAACCGTGGTCGCATTAAAGTATCCTTCTTCGTTTTCCTCAGGAGCTCGCGGCTCTTTCTTAACAACGTCATCGTCTTCCGATCTGTAACACAAATGGGAATATTGAGATCACTAATTTCACATGTTCGTGTTCAATTTCTTACACAATCGTTATGGTAGGCTTTGGAAAAACGTTGGATACCACGCATTCCAGCTGGGTTTCATTTTGAATTTTGTTCTGATTCAGATATAGAGTGTAGTTCCTCACATCGATGACCTGTACTTTTTTATGATGGGTATACGTCTCCGATCGCGTCTGCACCACACACTTGTAGTCCCCGGTAGTGTGTATGGTTGGGTTTATTAAAGCCAAAGAGCTGTACTGTTTATTGGGATCCGTTGAGCTTTCATAGGAACTGTCAATATCATTTTTGAATTCAGGCTGGAAAAAAATGATATTTATCAATAAAAGAATTCATTGTAGTTCATAATTTTAATTACAATGGGTGCGGGATGAGTTCCGCGTATCCACTGATATATAGTTTTGTCATTTCTGAACCACTTCACGGTAAGAAAGGATTGTGGATCTTTGATCTCATAGTCACAGTCCAATACAGTGGGTTCCATATCCTCATTTTGAAGGACGATTAACTTTGTTTGGGAATCATCTTTTGCTGGCAAGCATAGCCCACCTATATACAAAAATAAAAGATTAAATTCAGTTAAAAAATAAAGTCTAAGATCAGATGCCGAACATTTAGAAGCTACATATTTAGGTCTGATATTTCTTTAAGCTTCTGCTTCAATCTGGGCATAATGGTTTTATCTCGGAGCGAAATTATGGCTCATCTGAGACGTATTTTCTATAGAAACATGGAACTATCCCAAACAGACTTAAAGATCATAATGTAAAAGATACACAATATCCAGATCATTTAATAAACTGGAAAACTTATAAAATACACAAAATTGTTAGCAAGTTTATCGTACATATTTATGTACATATAAAATGAAAATTCACAATAAATATACCTATAGACATATGGATATAAACACGTATATAGATTTCGCGAAAAAGCTTTTATTTACGAAAAGCCAAATATCGAGTGAACAACAGATGCTCGTTTAGCTTAAAAATAGATCCAAATATCAAACAAACTGAAACAAATAAATAAAAAATATTTCATTTTGGTAGTTTGTCATACAAAGTTACGAGTTAACACATATTCTAAGTACAATTTACGAAGTAGATTTATCTTAGGTTAAATCTTTGCACTTAATAGATTTTCGGCGCGAACAAATCAGAACTACATATATGGTCCTTAACTGGAGTCACTGGACACTACTGTTTATATGTTGACCAAATATGTAAAGATCACCATCCTTTTTCACGTGTGTAGTTATAAGATGGTTATGAGATCAAACAACACATCACTTCTTAAGAGTTCTATGCTTTATTCAAAGATCGAAATAAATATTTGAATTGACCGATTAGAATGAACCATTACTGTCGTGGTCCATCAAAACGATGTATTTGATGTACGTATTTGTATACAGATGAACATACATATTGTAAGTATGTATTTATAGATATCCGATTTGTCATTATTTTTCTCAAGGTTTGTACAATGTACATTCAGTGTATATATAAGTTTATATACGTTTATTTGCCCGATGAAATGATTTCATTTCTTAATTTAAAAATAGTTCTCCGATGTTAAATATTGTTCACATTTCGCACTTGCAATTCCGTACCTCTTTGGAATAATCCTATCGTAAGAATGACAATAAGCAGAGGATCCATAATAGTTTATTTACAACACTTCCTCATACATATACTAGTATGTACACCGTCGAACAGACTTTCACAAATGTACGAGTATTTAGCTTAACCGCCTGCTCTGCATGGTCAAACACAAGTGTCGGGTATATCACAACTGAACGATGATGTTGGCCGCCGCCGCCGTCAAGAGAGAACCACACGTAAAGAGAATGAACAATCCACACCACCCAGCGTGGCTATATAGAAAAGATAATGCCGGCATTTTCTCTCTGCCTCGCTGATCTTGTACACAGCCCAACCAAGCCCGAGAGCCCGTGCCACTTGTGCATGGTAGAATGATATGGACATGTGCGCGTAGCGTATGCACGAGAGATCGTTTTGCAGCTGCCTCCAAACACATGGGGGTTGGAAAGGCTTTCCGCTTCGTTACTCTCCGTTGCTCCTAGCTACTAACGGCTGACGTTGACTCTTTGAGCACAAGTTGGTTGTTGTACCTACGCCCCCTGGCGACCTTTAGGGCAGAAAGGAAGTGTGCCTGACCTTTTTGTTTTTATTTTTTTGAATGTTCTGATCAGTGTCTTTAATTGGGATATGTTTAGGTGTACTGGCTTGCACAGTTAATGATGTTTAGGAATTCAGCGTACTTTTCCGCTTTCCTCTTGGCAGTTGTTAAGGAAGGGTATGCTTAAAACGAGTTTACTTTAAGAGTACTCTGATTTTTTTTTTTGCCATACAAAAATGAGGAGCTCGTTCCGTTTCGGTGCCTTACAAAAGAAAAAGCCTTCACTCTACCATGCAAATGTCTGACTACAATACACCACCAACATATAACCCTTTCGGAGTTTAATCATATGTACGAGTACATACATATGTGGATATGTTTCTACATAGTTATACATACATATGTACTTATGTATGATTGTATTAATGAGTGGACACACACAGACCCAATTGTATATTGAATGGAGTCCAATGGGGATGGAGTCTCTCAATATTTGTTGTTTTACGATAAGGAATGCAGAGAATTGTGTGCATTAAACATTCCACACTTACTATAATGTCACACTTACAAATGGAGGTACAAAGAAGATGAGTCACTGAACCATATAGACGACTGAACCAGCATGCCACAGCTGTGGCAGACTGTGCACAGTCTTGAAGAAGGTCCCGACCATGAAAGTCACACTCTCTCTCACTGATGGATCATATGCAAAGCAACATTTGGTGGGGTTCCTACTACCACTTTTAAGCATTCAGCGCCTTCTTCTTAGCTGCGTCTCTGTCCTTTAAGGTTTGTATTGCAGATGGTGTACCAAACTAGCTCCCTGCGTGTAAGTAGCTGTGCTCCACCATAAAGGAAAACTCCCAAAACCTTGGAACAGATGCGTCCCCCTCTCCGCGCATCTAAGTAATTGCATGGGCGGTCTGTTGATGGATGGAGGGTGTCTGTGTCCCCCTTCAGGAATGATATAATAATACTTGGAAAAAAGAAGACGGATTCCCAGGGTTAAAGCCGGGCTAATATTTTAGGGATGTTCTAATCCAGCTAACGTCCCGCCAGGATTTGAACGCCCATACAATTAGTGACCAGAAGTGCTGAGTCTGGTTTAAGGGTTGGGCGTTTGCAGAATCGTTAGTCCGATTGGATTGACTTGTTTGGCGTCACTGTCACTTGTCACTTGAAAGTTGTAAACCCTTGCTAAAACACCCCCAAATACCCACCAAACAACCAAAATGCTGTCCAACGTGTCCAAATCCTGGTTATCTATAAACCATCAAAAGTTATGAACTAATTTCAGCTCTCGTAAAGAATAATCTTATAAGCATTATAGTCCTTTGCGCTTGTTGTATTATATATCCATCCAAAAATATGCATTCAACCCGGAAGGACACTGTCGAATACGCTTACATATGCATTATGTACGGAGGAAACCTCACCATGAAAATCCAAAAATATGCTTATAAATTATTATAACATATAATACATATGTATAAATATGTATGTATAGGATATTTTTAAAATTTACTTAACATTTTATGTTTCTCCAGAGCATATTTCCATTCAGCATTTCAGAACTAATGGTATCAGGTGGGCCAATTTACTCTTCACAATGTGGCTTCTGAAGGCCCGTAAATTGAATTACACTCAAAGAATAATTTACAGATATCTATTTTGGAATATTCTCTTTGTTTATTACATAAACGATTTGAAAGTTGTTTGTTTCCATGGAAAATCTAGAACCGATAATATACAAAATCAAATTTATATAAAATATATAAAAATTGTAACATTTCTCATATATTAAAATGCGTGAATATTTTGCCCTTGTCGCAGTGTATGGCAAAAATTGTAACGTAAAATTTCCACCCCTAGTTCGTTTGGAGCTCGTTAGTACACGCCCCCAAACGCGGAGTGAAATATTTTCTATCTCTTTCAGCAGAGACAAGTGCAGCATCCTTTTTTGTCCAAAGGCTGTAGTTGGTAGAACCGTAATCGAAGCTTATTTATTCAAGGGCAGTTAAAATTTGTGTTTCCGCGCGACTCTATAATTATGTGTTTTATCGGGATGTGACTCATTAACGGACACTAAAAATACCTTCAGTGCGGCGATTTTGTATCCTATATGGGCTTTCAGTGCAATGGAATTTTCATTTCTAAACAAGGCGAACTTCGACAAGGACTGCATCTACAACACTAACGCTGACTTTTATAATACTAATACAAATGGGGCACTCTCCGTAGCTAATCACATGAATCACTATAATTTAATGATTGACTCGAGCTACAAGCTATGTGCCAACGAGACTGCAATGAGAAGTTCATTAAATCAAGAATCGAGCTTACTATTTTCGAAAATAACAACTGTTTCGGAATTCTACCCCTCGACACATAACATTGCGTCCTATAACTCGGGTGAATATTCCATTCTGACGTTCTATAACACAGTGCATGATACTTTTCAGAACGTTCAATTATTCGAGATTCTACAAATTATTGAAAACTACCAATACTATACATTTGTTCTATTTTTTCAGATTTTCATTTAAAGGCGTATGATGATGGATTGAGCTTGACTGATAAATCGAAACAGAGACGGATTCGAACCACATTTACTTCCAACCAGCTAAATGAGTTGGAAAAAATATTCTTAGAGACCCATTATCCCGATATTTACACAAGAGAGGAGATCGCATCGAAATTGCACTTGACAGAAGCAAGAGTTCAGGTAAGAATATAATTATAGAGGCATAATCATACCATTTAAAACAGGGCCCTCGGCATTCGATGGCCTTGTAGAAGCGATCGCTCCTTTGGCAGCTATATGAAATGTTATTCAACCTTATACATAGGTATAAGTGAATCATAAAGTTGTATCCAGGTGTTTATGACACACAGTTCACAAGAGATATTAACAATAAATTTTCCGCGCAACCAATTAGCCCAATCATGCACTTACGAGTATATAATCTATACTATAGATAGAGACGATCGAACAATTTTAGTCAATTGTTTCAATACCAAGTCTAGCAGTTTTCATTTCAGTTTGCATGAAGTTAAAACAAAAGTCCAACAAAATATTTTCTAGATCACTCAATTTATTGAAACCTAAATGATTAATGTGCGCTTTGATTTCTTATAAAACTAACTCGCGATCGAATAAGTAGCCAACACCTTTCATAATTTCTCAAGCTTTGATAGTTTAACAGCAGCAAGCTTAAATAGTGTTATAGCTTCATATCTGAATAGTATAGTGTCATAGAAAATGGGTTTAAAGCAGCAATCTTATAGTTTTATATCGCCCAGTTTGAATTTGTAGCAACCTGATTATTTTGAGCTTCCTCAAATAGACGCACAGACGAACATAGCCAGATCGAGGCACAAAAATCTTCTGAACAATTTTATAATGCCCTATTCAATATAAAAAGAAGAGGAAACGTAAGGCACGTCTGAAGTCGCGCCTCCACTTCTATACCCGGTACTCAGTTAGTCAGATTTTAGATTATTTTATCTGTATCCATTTTTCCCGCTATTTTTTTATTTTCGCTACATCTGTCTCTATATCTATGGCAGAGCGTGTGAGCAAGAGAGAGAATGAGTAAGCGCTGAAACCTGATAGATATGATCATTCTCTACGATACTGCGTGTTCGGTTTTCTGTTATCTTCAAAATTTTGGATGCCACAGATTTTCGTTCTTTGCGGGGGCGTTAAAAGGCGTGGCACATTTTTTAAATCAACTTGAGTCAGTGTGATATTACATAACACTTGATACAACATTTGGTGGCCTAGCTCTTATGGTCTCTGAGAACTAGGTGTCAAACAAGACGGACAGACAGACATGGCTACTCGGCTATTGATGCTGATCAAGAATATTTATACTTTATACCCCTTAACTCTTCGGGTACCGGGTATAAACAGGCTTTCTTATATCTTAGCATTCACCAAAAATCGATTAAATTGATTTCTGTGATTATGATCCACTGAGTCTAAACGTATACCTTTGTTTGTGTCTATTCGGATGGTCTTATTATCAGACTTGTGAGAGGTTGAGAATCCTAGGCTTATTTATCATACAATCTGAGATATAAGATTGCACAAAAAATGTATTAGTTGGTGGGTTTGGTGACCCCGATTGGCGACTGGTTGGTTCGATCGGGTGTCAAGCTCTAAAGAAAATATTCCATTGCAAATCAACACTGAATTATTAAAATGTACTTGCTTTCAGGTGTGGTTTCAAAATAGAAGAGCAAAATTTCGAAAGCAAGAACGACATGCTATTTACATCATGAAGGATAAGTCTGTTAAAATGGATAGCCGCAAAAATTCTGTATCCGGCTCTAAATATCTTAATCCAACAGTGAAAGGACCTCAAAATTCGCGTCAGATGAAATGCCTATATGATCAAATATAGGAACCACCAATATCTATGTAAATATTAAGATACATTTTCACGACTACCATTATTTTGATATTGTTTTTACTAACCATTGTGGTGCGAAATTACGTTAAATAAAGAAAAATCTATGTACTACTACTTTGAAAATCTTTGAATTCCTATCAACATGTTTTTAGCACATTTACAGGCTCCAAGGTCTTCGAACTTCTCATCGATGTGATTAATTAATTAAAAAATTGAATCGATAACTAAAAAATGGGTTTTTGTGGAAAAACTCGTTGAAAAACCCGTCACTAAAATTCGTATTTATCCGTTGAAGTTTTATACCGGCTATATCACCCAGAAGAAAGCTTTTGCCACCCCATCTAGTGTAGAGCTAGAGCAGACTCTAGCTGACTTTACACTGAAACAAGCGTATTATAAATGCTGGATATGTGTCAGTTCCAGTTTTGAAAACTCAAGAAAATCGTTACGAATAAAGAATAATTCTTGGGACTGACTCGACTGCTTTGCGCTCCCTCTCTTCGTCATGCAGTGTTACGTCCCTGGCGGAGTGATGTAGATATAACAGCTGCGTTGGTGGGAAGAGTGGAGAGAGACATGTAACGGACGCTGCAGTACGGAAACAGGTGGAACGTGTGCCCAACGTCAGGATTAGTTTGAATTTGAATTTGGATTGCGGTGTGATCACCTGCTGACTGCTCAGCTCACTTAAGACTTTTTCCCACAAAGGTTTAAACGAAAATCCGCGAATTGATGACTAAGGGGATCTACATTTTGTTGATCCATATGAATGAATTTGTATTCGAACCAATTGAAAAAAATATCTTTTAGCTCACACCTACGCACCTGCGTATTTTCGCACTTACTCATCTACTGATGACCCCGATTTTGTTTTTAGTGGCACCCCTAGGTATTTTATTACGTTCTCGCGTGGTTTGCTCACATTTTAGAGGTTCTGTTTGCAATTTAAACATACTAGTAAACTAAGTTTTGGAGCAAAATGAGGTAATGGTAAGATTACAGTTAAAAATATTTTATTTGTTCGTGCTAAATTTAAATGCAATGCTACACACTGTTTAAGTACATATGTATGTATGTAGTTTGTATTTTTCCATGTTCCAATTTCATGTTCCTATTTTTTGTCGTCTCTAACAAATGTATCGAGAGTACCCATTATGGAGACGTCATCCACACTAGTACTTTTTAAATTACGCACAATGCTATCTTGACATTATTATTTTATAATCGCTGGTCCGGCTGTTTTACATTTTATGAATTAAATTCTTTATTAATTGGCCAGCCATGTTGAGATCGAGAATTTCCTGCACATTTGCCACGAGGAGATGGATGTCATACTTCTCAACAGAATTCAACGCGCTGGCGAATGAGGGTCCAGCCAAATTTCCACACCTCTTACCAGAGGGCAGTCGGCATGCTGCCGCTGCAACGAATATAGATTTGGATCTGTTTGTAAATGCGGATCATCGGCAAATGGACCTGGTGGACAGGCTGCTTAAGCTCAGGTAAGCTAGAACGTTTTAGGCAGTGCTTAAACTAATCTCCGAATCATTACAGAAAGCAAAAAGAATGCAGCTATGTTCCGCTTTTGCCGAGTCTGTTAGTGAAACCGTTACTGGACTCAACAAACCCCCAGGAGGCAATCACGGTTCTCCGGAGTCCCACCAAATATGGTATATTTATTGACCAGTTCTCCGGGTGCTTCTTAATGGACCTGTTGTTGCACAGCGGTAACACATTGGAAGCAGCGCAGACTGCTGCCCTTCTTGTGGAAAGAGGCTTATGCAACAACGAACTGGTTGAGGCGTTGGCACTCCAATCGTTTTTTAAGTTCGCGAAAGACTTCAAGCCTTTCGAATCGTCGGAGAATAAGCCTGCAGCTGCTGCCCCTGAAGTGGTATACTGAATTATTTCCCTGTGAATGCTTTCAACGAACTGACAAAAAATTCTTTTTCAGGAGAAAGTCCGTGTTAAATTTATTCGCAACTATGTTGAAGATACAAGCAAGGATACAGAGGAAAAGGTTCTTGGTCGAGCTATGATTCAATTGGGCTCTGGCGAAGGCACTCTGAAAGAGCTAAAACAAAACATTTCCCTTCTTGGCCTTGTATTGTGCGGGAAATTACCTGATGCTGTAAGCCTCCTGGCCCAAAACCGTGGGGCTTTTCACAAAGAGATCCTCACCACTTGTCAAAATGTGGCTGAAAGTCTGAAACTGGAGGTCTCGGACGAGTTTACACAATCATTGCAGCAAACACTCGATAAATGCACGCAGACCATCTCTATCGACGAAAAATTAGAGACTAGTGTAAGGAGCAGTGCCCAAAAGTTCGAGCCGAAACTGTTAGCTGAATATGGGCAGTCCTATCAAGAGTGGACCAAACAGTTTGAGAACGCTGTGAAGAAGTATATCGAGGAGCAGAGTCTGGTGGAGCGCAAGAATAGCATTGAGAAGACGCTGAACGAACTGGACGCGAAGCGTCAAAACCTTTGGTTCTTTGAGAACAAGGACGACATCGATATTCAGATATACAAGAAGAAGGTGCAATATCCCAAGCGCTGGTTTGGAAAGAAAAAAACGCCAAAGGCAGCGGACACGTTCTACGTGCCGCCAAGTGTCACGAGATCCGCCAACTAACTCGAAGCCCATGCATAGGTAAAAACAAAGCAAATCCAATTGTTTTTAAGCTTTAATTAAACTACTGGAGAATCAATCCAAATTCAAATGTTGTTTCTTTTCTCGAACGTTAAATTTTTTTAAAATTACCATAACGTAACATTGAGGGTCACAGTTATATATTCATTCCATCTCAGTTTACAACATTTTTTTTAGTTTTTTTTTTATAATTTTTCTTTGGAGTTTTTCATAAATTTTCAATCTTAGAAGCTAATCGTCTGTCATTTGTGTTGCATGGCCGAAGGCAGATTAGTTTTTAAAACTCTCTGCCCTGGTGCAGATGGTGATAGATTAATGGGCGATGGTAGGTCATGCCGCTTGTCCTGTATGGTCAGGGGTAAAAATTGCTGTTGCTTCTTTTTCCGGTTCATATTTATGGGGTGCGTATTGTCGTTCTTTCCAAACAGAATGGTCAAGTGGACTGCGCAGAAGATCCCTAAGCTCTGTAAGCAAAAGTGCGTGTAAATACTGACGAGAAGTGTGATGGGAGCGTCTCACCTGAAATATAGCTATAATGGCAGCCCCGAATGCGGTTATCATCAAGCGATTCTTGATTTGTTCCGATACGACGGCCAAACACCCGCGCTTGTAGTGGGTATCGCAGGCAGATTCGTAAGCGTGCTCCGGACGTGAGCAACAGGACCAGGGCAGCGAGAGTCGACGATAATCAAGAGGACCATCAACGCCACAGCATTGTAGCTGAAGAAACCAGTAATGAATTATACTCATTTATGTCCATATAAATATGTATTTAGACTTACCTGCGACTGCATCCTATTCCACAAATGCAAGTTATCAACTTTGGTGCGCGAAAATTTGTCCAAGAACTCCACGAAGGAATCGTCAATGAAAATCTCTACCGAAGTTGGAAGGTTCTCCCGCATAGCCAAGGACCATCCGCAGATAATAAATTGAACACATATGCAGGCCACCAGAAGTGCGGAAAACTGTGGGTATAGAAGTTTATTATACGGATGGATAATCCATGATTAGCTCGAGTGTTATTTTCTCAATTAAGTTACCATTCCGAGTAGGCAGCGCTTCCTTTGGTTCGTAGCCTGACATCCCATCCAGCACAGGATGAAGGTCACAGGTCCCAAGCACAGGAGGATCGCGGCTGGAGCCCACAGCTTGTTCTGCACAATTCCATAATACACCGAGTGTCCCCACAACAGGGATGTTCCCAAAAATATCTGGGCGGCTCCAGTTAGCTGCAATACGTATGGAGGAGCATGGTTTAAATTTTACAGAGTCAGTCATTCAAGTAGGAGTAAGCGGCCGTTCATCACAGCGTCCTTGCAGATTTGGGATTCTATGCTGGGGGCTTTTACTCCCTTTTGACGTCATGCGAAGTGTTATGTGCATAAGCTCATGTACATACAAACATATGTAGGCGCAGCTTTTAAGTAGCTCAAGGTCACTACGACTCGGGACTTAATATAGTATATACGAGTATGTATTCAAGGATAAAAGTGTGTACATATCCCCCCATGATTCGCACTACACTATGCGATGCGTGTAGATATGTATGGGACGTTGAACAGATTCGAGGACGCATTAGCAAACGCAAGAAGTTTATACATTGTGCAGGGATGTTCATACATGTGTGTCTACAGACGTGTACATGTATCTACATCATTTGATGCACAGATTTGCATAGCTAAAGGAACGTGAAATGAAGTTGATTGTATTCGCTCGGAATATGCATGATTTGGCTTGCCAGACATGAGAATATTCATTCATTCATACTCGCACTATGACGTAGAATCATTTTTTATGCAATTACAAACTTATATGTATGTAAATTGTTATCGGACGCACACATGCATATCATTGCAATTACCTTATGTAACTCTACAAAGCTCTAATTAAGCTCTCTTTCTCCCGTTCGGAGAGGAGAATGTGGGCCAAACTTACCGCTAGAAGAAATACATAACTGTAAACCAAATATTTAAAACATTTAATTTTCTTTGGCAGCGCCATTGTTGTTGTCCTTCGCGAGTCTTCGAATTTTCGAGTGCTCTCCGTCGAATATCTCGCAGTTTGCATTCACTGAAGTTTATTAATTATGTTAAGTCCTCTCTGAGCATTCGCGCGTGTGTGTGTATGTGAGTGCGTGTGTTTTGTGGTTGTGTGCTGGCGTGATGCAGCTTCAATTTTCGGATGCACGGTTATACGGTTGTGTGTGTGTTGTAGGCCTATATTTTGGTTGGATTGAAGTAATGCTGTCGTTATTAGCCTTCGCTTGAATCTGCTGCAGTGTTCATCACATCACATCACTCATCATCACTGAACGTTGCTGTTGCTCGCGGTTGACGGGGCATCCACATTTTGCCAGCCCAGGGGTCCAGGTTCAACTTCACGGATGCAATTTTTAACTAAAAATAACAGTTTGCGTTAACTCCGAGCCACTCAGATCGGTCGCAGTCGAAAATACGCATTTGACGGTCTGACCAATTCGCTCCTTGTTTTGTTATACTTCTGCGCCAACAGTGGTAATATTATCTATAACCGTCGAATAACCGTTGGTTCGCGGGAAACTTTATCACGAGTACTTTTAACCTCAGTCACAAGTCACATGTTCGTGTAAAATACATTTTTGTATTATTTTATGCAATTTATATTGAATTTGTGTTCCTCTTTTCGTAATGGACTGGCTCCGCTTGCAAGCAATCTATATATTTATGCTCAGGAGCTATAAACACATATATATCCCGTAAACGGAGCAACGGAGGCAACACATATTCACCATTTGAACATCGCGCCCACTTTTCTACACCCAACAAAAATATCGCGAAAAAATAAAATATGTAAAATAAGCCAAACCTTAATAAAAAATACCGCACAAAAATGATCAATTTTGCTTTTGAAAGATTCATATCTCCCAGACGGTAAGCTGATGCTACAAAAGTTCAGGTCTACTTTACGATGCATTTATCAGCTTTTCAGAATGGAAAAGGTCATTACAACCAGATGCAAGATACTTAAGTTATGTGAAAATTAAAAGCGCTCGCTCTGAAAAATAGCAAAAAATACCATTTTTTAAAAACTCGTTAAAAAAGTTCTGCCGTAGAAAAAAAACCATAATTCATTAAAAAAAATGTAAAACCACAAATCTTTTAGAAAAAGTCGGTTTGGTTCCTTGAGGAAAAAAAAGATCGATTTTGTCGAGTAGTGTAACACAACTAATTCCAACTAATAATTCAATTCCACTGTGTAGGTTAAAAACAATATATTTCTTAAATTGTTTGGAAAATATGTATACTCGTAGACAAAACTAAAATGCTTTTCTGATTTTATTACGATCTTGCGAATTTATACTGTACTATTTACACACTTTATTGGCGATTTTAGGAGGGAATATGTAAAATCTTAGCATGCAAGAGTGTATAAAAGTTATTCAAATATGTGTAGGTAGGTAGCGTAGGTAATGTAATGGAGTTCATGTAAGACGGGGTAGAAAATAAAATAGAAATTACAATACCGTTTGTATACAAATATTCTTAGAAAATAATGTTCCGCATAATGGACCAGCCGTTTTAAAAAAAGAGTGTAGTGGACATGGGGTTCTGTGTGGTGTTTGAAAGTCAAATACAATTCAAATGAGAAAAAAAAACAACTTGTGTCGCCTCTCTCTCTCTTGCTCGGGCTCGGATTCTTGGATTCTAATTACCAGCCCCAGACCCATCTCTGGCTGAGTTTAGACCGTACCGTCCATGTTGTCGGTAAGGTGATCGTGAATCCAGTAAAGTAGTCACGTGAATGTTGGTAAGCTTACGATTTAAATGTACATTTTACATCTTTATACAATAAGTAATTAAATCTGTTACTGTTACTGTTTACCGTATGTTTGTATACAATATATATATAAAATTCAGGTCTCTTTGCAAGTATTGGATTGGCGGCGGGTGGAGCCAACTCAAAGATCGGTTAGGTTATTCGCGAAGATTCTTGGTCAGCAGCAGGTTGTTGTGGTGGCCGGAGAGATGCCGGACCAGCTCCTGCACCGACTCGAAGCACATAGAGCAGAAGCAACAGCTGTAGCGGTTCTCCGTGTCCGTGCCATTGGTGGTGGTGATGATGTTCCGGTGGACCGAGCACAAGTGCTTGAGAAGGTGGGCTTTCTGCTTGAACATGGCCACGCAGAGGCGGCAGGCAAAGGGCTTCTCGCCCGTGTGGACGCGCAGATGGGTCTTGAGGTTCCAGGACATGCCGAACTGTTTGCCGCAGTACTCGCACCGGTACTCCCGCACCGACGACGAGTGGGGGTTGCTGCTGGCTATGTTCGACCCGGAGGCGGAGCTGCTGCGACCCTCTGGGTCCAGCCCCAGATTCATGTGGGACAGACTAGAGAGTCGCGACTGCAGATTGGGCATTGCGGAAATCGCGGCGTTCTGATTCGACTGCCACTGGTACACGAACTGGGGTCCCAAATGCATTGGAATATCCGGGCTCTGTGCACGGTTCCTCTGCGATTCGAGTAGCTTCCGGTCCGGCGTCATATTGTCGCCGTTGAGCGCCCCATCCTCGAGATGGGCGAGCATATTCTTCTCCGAGCCAAATCCAGATATGGGCGATGTCGTCGACTTGACCAGTCTCAGTTCCTCCAACAGGTTGTGCTGATACGAAGTGAATGGCTGATTGTCGCTCTGAGTGTTGTGAAAGCCAGGTCGTCGTTTTCGATGGGGCGTAACCACGTAGTTTTCCGGCGAGCTGTTGATGTCCGACCCGTCGGACAGCGGCTTAAGCACATCCTTGTGGGAGTCAAAGAACAGTCCCTTCCGCTTCGTGCTCTCGCTCGCGCTGACAGCCAGGTCGATGCCGCTGTGATCAGATCCGGATCCAATGGTTCTGCTGGCGTCACTGCGGGCCGAGTTCTCGCTTTTCGTCCGGAGGTCGAGTGAAAGGTTAACTGGATTTATAGCCGAATTGTTGTTGTTGTTGTTGTTGTTACTGCTGTTGCTGTTGGTGTTGCTGTGGTTGCTGATGCCACTCGGTGGCGCGTTGGAGAGATTTACGATTTCATCTGTATCTTTGTCGCTCTTGTTGTCCTTGTGCATGCAGTCATCGTCCTCCTCCTTGGCCACCTCCCCGCCACCGCATTCGGGAGCAGTCTCGCAGTGCTCGGCCGAGCATGTGGAATAGTCGGCCGCATTTCTGGACTCGTCCACACTGTCGACCTCATACTTGAGGGTCTGGTCCAGGTTCTGGGAGGACGAATACTGCTTCCGTGATCTCTCGCGTATGCTCCCGCACTTACTGTTCAGATAGGCTGAGTCCGTGGTCTTCCAGCTGTCAGACTTGATCTGCAGGAGCAGCAGCAGATCGTGCAGGTAGTTCACGTCGCGCGAGGTGATGCACGTCTGTCCGGAGTACAGAAAGTCCAGCAGGAATTTAAAGTAGGTGGCATTGACGTCCGGAAAGTAGACGGTGGTCGAGCAGTCGCTCAGGTGAGTGTCCTCCAACAGGTTTCTGGAAAATCCAACCAATTACCATCTGTTAACTCAAAAATGACCGAACACCAACCCAATCGAAAGGCTTACCTTATGAGGGGACTGGCGGCGGCCAGCACCAGTTTGTGGGCATGCAGCTTCACTTTGTTCTCGCACACGATTGTGAGGTCTGCCGGGTGCTCTCCCCGGAACGCTGCTCCGATTTCCTTGAGTATGCACTCGCCATGCTTGCTGTATTGCAACATCAACATTCTCTGAAACTGCAAATGGAAGAGCAGACGTGAGGGGATTAGATTGGATACATCGGATTCTGCCCGCTAGCACTAAAAATATTAGGTTTCAAAGAATGCAAGCTCCAAATCGAATCAGAGACCACTCCATATATGCGAAAATGTACATAAATATGTACATACATACATACATATTTATGTATGCATGTACATATATACTCTTATATGTTAACCTTCCAGTGCAGGGCATGCAGTAAACTGTGAAGACAGCAAAATAGAAAGTTTTGGAAAAATGTCTGCATCTGGCGCTGTCTCTGTCGCTGGCGAGTATTACACAATCTCTGAGCATGAAGCCGCCTTTCACCGAAAGAGTCTCCTCCCCTCCCTCTGCCCATGACTTTTTCACGATTGTGTCATGCAGACGGCTCGCTCTCACACAGTCAGGCACACCTACACACTCGGTCGCGTATCTGTGTGTTAGAAAAAGGATCTTGCAGCATTCGAAAGTCAGCTTTCATCGTAACGGAGAAATTATCATACATACACATACATATGTACATACACATACACATGGAATGGCATTAAGAAATTGAAATTACAAAGCATTAGTAAATGTTTACTAATCAGGTTTTTAGGTTTTTCTCTACTCTACTCTTTGCTTTTGTAATACCGCACAACCCACACACACACGCACACAGCCATTACCTTCAGACGTACAGCCAAAGCATTGTTGTTGGAAAAGATGAAAGCTCCACTTCATAGAGCAGCCCCCAACAACAATCGCAGTTGCTTAAGAAACGCTATGCTGCTTCTGCCACTACCTCTCTCGCTCTCTCTCTCTCTCTCTCTGCGCGACTGCCTCAAAAAAGCTTTCCCCCTTTCGAAGTTGTTGTTGCTGCTGGCAGCTTGGCTATTGCGTTGGTGTTGGATTCGAGTTTGGCGCGAAGGCAACGGCGAATGAATACGATGAAATTGTTACACTGACTGTATCTGTGCAACAGCTATGCACACTCGCTCACTTCACTTTATGGGGCCATTACTGTATTGTGCAAGACCATGGCTTGTAAGCTCTTGTGTCCGTGTGTATCTGCATGGCCCCCACACACACACGTGCACACTCAACAGAGCTAAAGTTCAGCAGCAGCAGTAGATCTGAAAACTTCGAAAAGATAGTCTTGCTTTTTGTTACGCTCTGCTGCGTCGCTGCTTTTGCCGCTGCTTCACTGGGAGACGAAACGTTCACTTTCAATAAAACTTGAATGACTGGCTTTGGGAGAATGGCTTCGGTCCCGTCCCCTCGCCGACGCTCCACTCCACTTTGTAGTTGTGTTATTTCTCATGGGAAGCGAAAGCTGAAAGAGCACGATCATTTGTGGAAGAGATTGAGCGGTGTGGGGGATGGTGGATGGGGATGTCAGGCTTGTTCTAACGTTGGGTAAGTCCGAAACGGTGCTAATGGAAAAAACTGAATACTGGATTCCAATCCCTCTTCTCCCATTCGCCATGGCCATTCCATTCCCTTTCTACAAATGCTTTCAGATTTCGCAATCGGAAACGTACAACCACACGCACACAATAACTGGCTTTCATAAATGCATACACTGGGCTACGAAAGTCTGCGGCCACACGTTTAAGTTCTTTACAAATGGAACATCATTCCGGACATCATTTTCCCGTGTTTTTATGCGTACTGTTATTTAATGCGATCATAAAATATCCAAAGCTAGGTGTGCTGCTCGCATTTCGACATTTTGGGCGCAGACTGATGTTGGCGAGTTTACAACATACATACATATGCACAAACAACTCGAAATGAGAATGAAAGGGACAAAGCAGAGATGATCGAGCGCAAAAGTGAGACAAAACAAAACACGCTAACTCACAAAACGCGCATAAAAATCACCTTTCACAAAAAGCTTTTCTTTTTCTCTGTGCTGTATGTCTGTGTGTGTATTGGTAAAGCAAGAGCTAAACAAAACGAACACAGCACATTCACACTCGCATACAAAATTACATGCATACAGAGAACGTACATTCGTATATACATAAATATGTACTCTATACTTTCCGATTTTTGTAGTCGTCATCTTTTCAATGTAATGTAATGTTTTTCAATTACTCTTTCTTCTATGTATGCAGATTGTGAGTGTATAATGCAGATCAGATGGAAATCGAAGAGAACGGGGACCACAAAAGAGAAAGCGAATTCGAAATATTTTGAAAGTTGTATGAGAGATTATAAAAAGGGAGCGGATCGGTGTGGAGAGAGGGCTAAACTTGTTTCTGCACCAACACACTCGCACTATCGAGTCGCGACTCAGAGCTGTGCTCTTTCCCCTTTCACGAAAGCTCTCTGGCCGCCGCAGAAAATGGCAAAGAGTCGTCGTCGTCGCCACGCCATTGTACTTGCTGTAAATGCTACACTCGTAAAAGTGACCCAAATTTGAATTACATAACTTATGAGGCGAACGATACACATGCTGGGAAAGATATGATAGTACTTTTGGGCATATTGGGGCTTTCCAAGGAAATGATAAATACATACAAATGGAAGCATGTTCATATGTTGTATTTCTCCATTTCCCCTTTCAGTAAGATAGTTTTCGATTGTAGAATGTTCAAAGCTTTCGTCAAAATCTTACTATACTTATTCCTCCACTCTATATGTATATGTACATAAGAGCAGTCACAGACAGACAGACGTGTGTATATTACTTGTAAATATGCATGTATTTATGTATGTACACTACAGCATATTTTGTAACATCTGCGCGATCGGCCTGTAATTGTGGGCTTGCATGTTTTCTGTGTGTGTGTGCGCATTTGCTTTTGGTGTGGTGTGCTTTTTCACCTTCACTCTTATTGGAAAGCAGTTCAGTTAGTCGTCAACCACTACTATTATATACAGATTATATCTGTACATAGGTATGAATGTGTGTTCGAGTATGTCTTCAAATTTCATGACATGCATACAAAACATACACACACAGCCACATAAATATTACGCAGACAAAAGCACGCCATTGAAGGTCACTAAGCCTTTCTTGTCTTTTGGTTGGCTGCGCTTTGTGGCCGTTGCTTTTGCTTTAGCTGTTGTTGTTGCCCTGTTAATGATGATCACGATGACGAAGATTGGATCGCCACGAACAGACAGACGTTTGCTATATCGGAACTTCGTTCAGGCCCAACTTTGGCTTTAAGCTTGGTCTCTGGTCTGGCTTTGGAATGTTTTTCTCTGCGACTATTAAGTTAGTGTTTGACCTTGGTAGCTGTGTGTTTTACGTATGTTTGGGTGCATATAGACACGCGTACCATCGCACAAGCTTGGGTTTTTCGTTTCGTTGACGATCTTGCAATGACAACGGTGGAAAAGTTTCTGGCTCATGGAACCCTACATATTTATTTTGATACGAGTAGAAAATTGACAGCATAACTTACCTCTTTCATTAGCAATTGATCGAAAATTGTTTAATTCCTTGCACTAAACAACTAAGATTCAATGGATAAGCGTTCACGGTGGATATGGAATTCGTATGTACGTCGTGGGTCTTCTGTGCACATGTGTGCGTCCAAGTCGAGCTTTCCCCTTTCACAATCTCTTTTGGCAACAGCTCCAGTGGTTGAGTGTGTATGCCTGAGGGATACACACACGCGACGCGTTCTATTCCGTTTGCAGTAGTGTGCTGCTCACCCACAACAACTTTCAATTTCGATTTCAACACCAACACCAAGCTTTCGCGTATATGTATATGTGATCTTCGAGGGGGGCTGAGGAACACGACTTTTGGTGGTACTATTATTCATATTTTTAACTACACATATGTACAGCTTTATTCGCTCACTATATTGGCCATTCGATTCAACGCTAACTTTAATTGTATTCAATTTCTCTTTTGTTTTTCCTGCTTGCACATCTTCTTCTTCTGCGACGCAGCGATCAACACCAGAACATGCACAGCACACACTCACGAAACGGTCACTACGACAGCGACACTAACTTTAACTAGGTTGAAGTTTTGTTTCTTTTTTCCGTGCTTGTTTTATTGCGAAATAAAAAACTTGATTGGTAAAACTTTTTCTGGCGGGCGAGCGAAGCGAGTGTGTAAGCGATCTCTCTCTTCTCAATTTTTTTCAATGCGCGCGCTATTTGAAATTTCTGGTCGGCCCGGCTGTCAGAGAGAGACTGAATTGTAAAACGTAAGTGTGTACGACATCGTCATTGTTGCTTGCCAACCAAGTTTCTTCTATGCGTATGTACTTTTGTATACCGTATTTCCTTTAATTTATGTATGTTATATTTGTTGTTCCAAGCTGCTTTGAAACATTAATATTGCATTTTTCTTAGATTTAGATGTTTTTTACCTATTAATGCATATGTTTTGTGTTTTATAAATACATTTATCCCGGTTCTATTGCCTATTATTTGTACCCGTGAACTGCAAAATTTCGTTAATGTCTTTAAAACAGAGACTGAGAAGTTTCTGCATTAATTGGAGCCTGAAATTTCAAACAATATCCCAAGTCCATAATATCCATTTTCCCAAGGTATGCATATTTGTTGCTCATTCCGTGACAAAGTTGCAGAACAATGCTGCCTATTCCTTTCCCCATGTTGCTGAAATGTTTCCCATACAAATGAAATGTATCTAGCAACAATGAGTCTTCATTCCATTACACCACGAAAATGAGAAATTTTGAAAAACCACCACGATTTGCTCACGAATGAATAAAGTGACCAAGTCGATAGCTGACATTATCGGTATAAGCCAAAACCAATGGATCGTACTATTTTCACGATCCATTTTTCAAAATCTGATACATGAATTCGCTTACCATCACTGATCGCTGATCAAGTTGTCCTTGTGAAAGCGCCCAATGATTAGTAATAGGCTATAATATTAAATGGCATAACATACAATAACCATAATAACGTTATCTAAAAATGTTCATAGCTATTTCTGCTATAAATGCAATCAATAATACGATCTTTGGCTTTTGCATTCAAGAAACATCTCTGGAAATGCTCAGCTGTAATATAAATTAATTTTAATAATTTTCGATTCAATAATGAGCGATGATCCAATATGTATACCTGGTACTCGAAGAGTTTAGGACATATTTATGTATGAGCTTTGTGGTCGAAGTCGATGTGGAAAAGTAATACATATACATGTCTGTCCGATCGGATGAAAAGATGTCAATTATATAATATGCAAGTCTTCGGCTGGCGGAGCATTATGTATTTTTATATTTTATATTGAAATGTCCATGAAAATTATTACAACAAAATTAGTTCGGAAGAAACAGTTCCTTTTAGAGGTTTCTCAAATGACCTTGATCACCAATAAGTTTCGATAATTTCCCTATTTGTTTTCATTGTGAGAATGGAACGCCTACATTTGCATCTTCTACCCTTTCACAGTTTAGGGTACAATTAGTCATGTCCTTGAACCGATTTTCTTTAGTTGACTACACACACACGCACACTCACCAATTTATGAAATTGTATGCAAATACATAGTTGGTAAATGCAGGTAGGCGGGATAATTCAATAAAGGATGAAGAACAATCTACATAAGTAAATTTCCAATAGATAATTGAAATTGGAAATTAAGGCAATAGTAGATTTATGGACTTTGGCACAGGAGAATAGTGTCAAGATTACCGTTACCCTAGAAAAAATCAATCCACTAGGATGGCTACAGCTTTAGCTTCCAAAACTAATTTAAATACAGCTGTCCTCCTACACATCATTTACATCGACGGAACAGACGCATTCTTTGGCCACTGCTTCAATTCTTTACCCTAAGTTTCAAGGACACTTCAAATTGTTCTCCTTAATGGAAAGGGTAGAGAGAGTAGATGTGAATTCGTAGGTGGCGTGCGCATCGCATCGGACATTTGAGGATAATAAACAACACATTTAATAGGATAATCGAGGCTCAGCGAGGGTCAAGGTCTCTCAAGAAATCTATTTTGAAATGGGTTTCCGTTTCCTTGATACCTTTCTTTTGCATACCATTAAGGAAAATTTGCATGAAATGATTGAATGTACATATGTACATACATACATACATATGTACATCGGTATATAATGGTATATAAATTTCATTAGTCTATACATGCATATGTATGTATATTGAGAACATAGGGATTTCAAGACCAGCCAATATATTTAGATATTTCGATTTAGGGACTTTGGCACCACAGAAGAGAGTGTAAGCCCTGTTTTATAAACAATCCAATAAAAGGGAGTTCTTAGATTAGCAAACCTTATAGAAAATTTGATTCATCTAGCTAGCTTTAAACATTAAGCCGAATATAAAAATCGGGGAACGTGATTTCCGTTCCTGGTCAGAGACAGAGAATCTATATGGTGGATCTTAACTCCAGTTGTTCACCTGTTTAAACAGAGCGGGGTTAGGTGGGTTAAGTTCGTTTCCTCGGTATATTTACGGTATACGTTGAAAATTAGAAGGTATATTTCTGAGAGTCGGACGGTATATTTTATAGATAAATCCGCGGTCACACTGAGCTGCACTTGAACGCAAAATAAACCGAAAATTATTATAAAATGAGTCAAAATATCTGCATATTGGGCCGCAAAAGCAATGGCCTCAACATCTTGAACATATCCAGAAAAGGTATGTGTTGTTAAGTATGGCGTGTGATTTCCAAGTGTAGGTGCCACACTTGTTGGACTTTGGTTTGGTTGTCCGGCAACGGGAGAGGGAAGAATGTGAAAGGGCCAAAGTCCAACAAAAACGGCTGCTGTGACGTCTGATGCTTATGATAAGCATTGACTTATAGTTTTGTTATGCATAATAATAGCCTAATAACAGAAAACTTTTATTTCATTTTGACAAATTTATATAGTTCAATGCAGGGCATTATCCGCCGCAGTGGCGGCCCCTCAAACCAAGCAAAGGAACAATCAAAATATTGTGCTGGTTGATGGTGTCCGTACACCTTTTTTGACGTCCGGAACCTCCTACTCGAAACTTATGCCGCACGAATTGGCCCGACACTCTCTTCTGTAAGTTCTCCGTCTATTAGTTTTGACTATTTTGCATGTATTTAACCCTAACATACCTCCATAGATCGCTGTTGCAAAAGAATCGACTTGACAAAGAGCTCATCGACTATATAGTCTATGGCAGCGTCATCCAAGAAGTAAAGACCTCCAACATCGCACGCGAGGCAGCACTCGCCGCTGGGTTCAGCGACAAAACACCCGCGCACACGGTCACCATGGCTTGCATCAGCTCTAATGCGGTAATCCCATCAAAGTCATTCCTTTCATTGCACCGTAATTCTCGAGATCCCGCTCTTTGCAGGCAATAACGACCGGCATGGGCTTGATTGCGACCAACACATACGATGTTATTGTGGCTGGTGGCGTTGAGTTTATGTCTGATGTCCCCATTCGTCATTCGCGCAAGATGCGCGGTCTTATGCTAAAGGCGAATAAGGCAAAGACTCTTGGCCAGCGTCTAGCGCTGCTGTCGACATTCAGACCTGGCTTTTTGGCCCCCGAATTGCCAGCGGTGGCCGAGTTTTCTTCTGGCGAGACAATGGGACATTCGGCGGATCGTCTGGCATCCGCATTTAATGTTTCCCGCGGCGAACAGGATGAGTACGCTCTGAGATCCCACACGTTGGCAAAGCAAGCCCAAGAGAAAGGTTACTTCACGGATCTGGTTCCGTTCAAGGTGCAAGGCGTAGATCAGGTGGTGGACAAGGACAATGGCATTCGTGTGTCCACTCCCGAAAGTTTGGCTAAATTGAAGCCAGCTTTTGTGAAACCCTACGGAACCGTTACCGCCGCCAATGCATCATTCCTGACCGATGGTGCCTCTGCTTGTCTGATCATGACTGAAGAGAAAGCCAAACAGCTCGGCCTTAAACCAAAGGCTTTCCTCCGCGATTTTCTGTACGTGTCGCAAGATCCCGTCGACCAACTGCTGCTGGGTCCCGCCTACGGCATTCCGAAACTTTTGAAGAAAGCCGGTGTCACTTTGAAAGACATTGACTCGTGGGAGATCCATGAAGCTTTTGCCGGTCAAATTGTAGCCAATCTCAAGGCCTTGGACTCGGATTGGTTCTGCAAAACGTATCTGGGCCTGAGCGAAAAGGTTGGCTCACCAGACCTGTCCAAATGGAACAACTGGGGCGGATCCCTGTCCATTGGCCATCCCTTTGCCGCAACTGGAGTCCGTCTGTGTATGCACACTGCCAACCGGCTGGTTCGCGAAGATGGCAAACTTGGTGTGGTTGCAGCTTGTGCAGCCGGCGGCCAGGGCGTGGCCATGCTTATCGAGCGCTATCCTGGCGCAACAGCGGACTGAAATCGAAACGAAATCAATAAATGAAAGTGCAGTTTGACTGCAGTTTGATGCCTTAGCTTTTATACACTTTAAACTATGTCTATGAGTAAAGAAGTTTGAAATTATATGTATGTTCGTTTAATTCCTAACAAAGACGCAAATATTCTACAAAGACAAGACAGTTCAGTCCGCTCCTAATCGGTCTCATAAAGTTCCTTCTGCTTTAGCTTCGTTTGCAGAATGTCGTTCTCATTATATGATATATGCAGGGGGGGTATGAGGGCGCATGCCACCATTCTGCTCTCAGCATTTAGAAAGTTGAATGTGGCACAAGCCTGAAACAAATTAGCGGATATTATAAACTAGTCAGACCGGGCAAGACTGCATACAAACTCACCTGCTCCGTTCGAAGAACCTCAACGTTTATTTTGTGTTTCTTCATGAACTCTATGATCCTCTTGGACAGCGGCGGCGACGGGCTCTGGTCGCCAATGCCAATTATGAGAACATCAATTTTCGGATCCAGAGTGGGGAACAAGCTAAGGCTTTCTTCGTTTATGTCCTCGAACGTGTTCACGTTCCAAGAAAGAACCGACCTGGATTAAACCAATTTCATGTGCATGTTTACATAATTCGCCCGCTCTTGGTTGGACATATCTACATCTACGTACCTAGGAAAAACACTGATTGGACCAATTAGGACCATGTCGTTATTCAGCCTAAAGCCGTACTGACTATAACCAGTAATCATAAGGCCTAGATCTGTTTCTGTATTGAATATTGAGACTTTTGTTTTGCCATCGTAGTCGTAGGCCTTGCTGAAGTTAACAGCCATGCCGGTGTGCAGCTTACGGCAGGACGAACCATGTGGCAAGAGGAGATGACCGCGACTTCTTTGAGCAATGGCCCTTAAGCTTTGTGCAATCATATTTCGTCTATATTTAATAATAGTAAAAAAAACAAAACTGTTTGTTATTGCAACGATAAATAAGTATGACCATGTATCGAGCTGGTGCTCGCTAGACCAGACCAGATATATTCCGGTATATTTTGGTGTCCAAATTTAGTTGGAAGGTGTATCGGTATTTACAGTATATATGTGTTAAATTTCATTTATAAATTTAATAACTCCGTACGCTTTGAGGTTTTCTTATTTTTATTTGTATATATATATATATGTACGTTCTTATTGTTAAGCAATATCAAGTTAATAGCAACTATTGCGCTAATAAGTGTCTGCGAAACTCTACAAGTTGCACGAAATAAAATACAACGAAATAGCATAAACAACCATTTCGGGAACAAAACAGTTTAAACAAGATGTTTTGATAGAGGAACATTATTTGTGAGCAATGAAACAGCAAAGCAGTAAGTAAAACATGATATTCTACTTCTATGCAAAGCCGATTGAGCAACAATTGCATATTTATTGGTTGTTAATATCAGCATATGCTTACTTATCGTACACACACACACACCACACTCACCAACACAAGCATGCCTATACATACGGGTGTGTGATTTATTTGATTGATTGAAGCACACATACTATGTACATATGTATCTTTGTTATTGAGGGCTTTAAAAGCGCTAACTTGCCCGGTAATAGTTATAAGCAGGGAAAATTCCACATAATACTCAGGCCATGCCATACATCGACATGTTAATGGCTTCCGTAAATACCAAGAATAGATAGTGTTTCCTAAGGAGGAATCGCTGGAACTGTTATGTCGTCATGCATGTATAAAAACGTACATGTGTTCGTGTGACTGTTTATTGGGGTATAGAACATTAATTTAACTTTAACCTTTATAAACTATAGACACTAACATATGTATGTACATTCTCTCGTTTCGTTGCAGTTGTATCCAAAGCACCGCGATAAGAATTTAGAATTGAAAGCTACCTCAAAATATTACCATGATTGGGCCCAGTTCACAAGTCAGCAAGATACTATTAACACTACTGTTTCTGTTGATAATATTCTACATTTTTATGGATGTGGAGCTATATTTGCGCATCCACAACTATGTTATTGAACGGAACTACCACACCAACACCTCGACAATATCTGCACCCTTGCCGCTAACACCAGCAGCAACATCGGACCTCAGTAGCAGCACGAAACTTCCCACCGCTGAGAAGGAGCCGTCGTATGAAGATCACACATGGATATCTTGTGATATAAACCCGCTCTGCCATGTAACTGTCAAAGCCATATTGCTGGACCACACCAACCACTATTTGTTTGCGCCACTGGCCACTATGTTCGACAATGTAATTGGATTCTCCCGCTCCACGTTCATCACGCCCAACATGATATCATTTTTCCATGTGGGTGTGGCTTGTTTGTCTGGCAAACTGGTGGCATCCGATAGCCTGGGATACAGACGGCTCGGCGTGCTTCTCTTCCAGATACGCACCTTCCTGGATGATTTGGACGGACATGTGGCGCGAGTGAGGAAGCATATCCGTGGGGAGCGCTCCGAAATTGGCACGTCCGGCTACTATGTGGATGGCCTGTGCGATGGGCTTGGCTGCATTGCCCTACTGCTGGGCATATTCTTTTACCTGAAAAACAACCCGCCGCGACGGGGCTACTCGATCATACCAATGAGTGACCCGAAAACACCTGAGCCGACAAAGATTCCAAAAATGAAGGCAACCACGCGAAAAGTGGCCAAAAATGTGATCAGCTTCACGGGGCAACTCTTGCTCAGTTCGACTGCATGGAATCGCTATATAGCGGTATACCAGAACATGTTGGAGCGTGAGGATGTTAGCAGCAGCCAGTACCTTTGCCAGAACTACGTATTCAAGTCCACTTGGTTCTTTTGTGTGGCGTGGATGTGGCGCATTGTTAATGTACACTCATTGCTGCACCTCGTGCTGCTCAGCATTTTTTGCGACAAGTTGTGGGACTTTTTGAGAACGATACGTTATAGCGGTTACATTATATTGTTGGTTGCAATTTGCTTAACGGAAATGCACATTTTGGAGGCCCAGAACTACATTTTTAATTCGACAGCGTGCAGTAATATTTCACTGTGATTTTATTAATATTACGAGAAAATACAATAATATTTGTGTAGCGGAATACAACGATGCCTTTTTTTATTGTTTTAATGTATGTATCTATATAATGATTGATGTCTGTGCACTGTAACCATATTTCTTACACATTTCACACTACACCTGGCGCCGCCAAACATCAATATTTCAACACACACAAAACCACTAATGCATCTTTTCATACAGAGATACTTTTTGTTAAAGCCCGACTACAAGAACATGTCTTCAGCTGTGATAACAATGTTATTGATCAATAAATCTATAATAAATTGTTATAAAAACTTATCAAATCATCCACTTCCTGGGACTGCTGTAATTTTTACCAGATCCTGATCCACATAGGAATATTAAATAAAACTCTATATATCTGAGTATCTTGATTGTGTTATCAACATCTGTGTTTTTGTACAAACAAAATTTTAACAAACTGTCATTGTGTCCTGACCTGCCCGTACAAGATTGGCCGTTTATTGTATAATTTATCTGATTTTATTAATATGTATTTGATAAGATTTATATTTATTTATATTGATATTTATCATTCTGAAACAGTCTAATTTAAAAAAAATAAGATCATATTAATGTTTTTTGTTTCGTTTCAATTGTTCCAAAATAGCGCATCACTATGAATACCCATAGTGTATTTTTGTTAAATACAAATTTATCACGTTGTGCCCGGTATATTTTGAAAATGAGAAGGTATATTTGGGTATATCGGTATATGTATGTATATTTAATCAAGGTCCAATTTATGTATTCCAATATATTAAGATACTTTTCAAAATGACCGCCAAACTCCATTTAGCGCACAAAATATACTGACATTTAGGTAAAGTAACAGGTAATAGGTAAAAACATTTCAATCATCAATTAAAGGAAATACGGTATACAAAAGTCCATACGCATATAACCAAGTTTGGTTGACCAGCAACAATGACGTCACAGTTAGTGGAAATTTACGTTTTATGCTTTGGCCGTTTTTACTTGAACCTTTTTATGGAAACAATGCCATAAAAAGGACTTCTGAAAACTAGCCAATCTTGTAGAAAATTTATGTATCTATCGGATAAATTTATTTTTTTAGGGCTGAGAGGACCAACTTAGCCCATTGTCGACCAAGGGGGTATTTAATATTTCCACGAAATTTATGTAACTTTAACATATTTTACGCAATTCATGTGAAAGATTTCGGTGGTCATTTTTGTTTTGTAAGTAAAGAGGAGGATGGAGCGACAAGGAGCCTGTACAAACAGTCTTATTTTACGCGGTTTAACAAAGGGTGCTCAACTTTTTAAATAGAGGGGTGTTAAGTGGGTTAAGTTTCGGCCCTGGCCTTTTTATGGTGTGGTATTTAAATGGTATTTCTCGAAACTGAAATGGTATTTAATGGTATTTATTTTTTGGCCGGATGGCATTTTGTATCGTTATCGGCGCGGTCACGCTGATGATATACATACAAGATATACATACAACATACATAAGAAAATTTTGAAGGAAATATGTTTGCTAAATCAAAGTCATTGACAATGAAATTGTAAATATTCTTTGTATTTTATAACGCACTAATTGAAAGTGGATGTGCATATTTACATGGCGTGTGTTGTGTCGAAAAACGAGCGTGAAAAGAAAAAGTGATTTCTCTGGTTTTGCCTGTGCTGTGTGTGAATCGTATCGTGTGAGCGAGCATAAATGCAAATACATACCATATAAAACATTACGTGTGCGAGCGCTACCTGAAATCAGATATTAAAGGCACCACGTCTGTGGTGTTACGTTACATCTAACCCCTATCAATAGTGTAAGAATTGTTGTGTAACCACCATTTAGGATGCGCTATATGTACATATGTGTGTACCCACCCCACATGACATATGTACATAAATGCTTCCTCTAGGCCAATCAATCTGCCCTTCCCTCAATTTGCCCATTCTATATAGCCCTTATTTGTTAAAGCAGCTATTATGCATATTGGTTTTTATCTAGTTCAATTTTCCCGAATCGATAATTTCATATTTTCTTTGTGTTTCTCATAAAAAGAACATGGCAACTAGAATTGTTACAGATAGATCTTTTTGCAGGACATTTAAAATTCAGACGTAGACATTTTGGATCTTCCTTTTCTTTGATTTGAATCTGAGCATTAAATGGTTTGTTTGTTTGTTTGGTTTATTTTGAAAGAAAGTATGAGACGAATGAGTTGAGTGCATTTCATGTATGTAGCATAGATAGAATCTGAATATGTACGAGTATATTACCAAGTGGGATGCTTCAGTTGATTGAATGATGGATCAAGATTAGAGCGACATGTGAACCGCTTGCGCAGAATGTTGGATTAACTTTCTTGTCATTTTAGAACTCAGAGAAGCCATAGTTATGGATTTCGTTCAAGTGTCGGAGGAGGAGGGTGACGAGCCCATCGAGCTGCCGGCTGAGGAAGATGGCACATTGCTGCTGTCGACTCTGCAGGCCCAGTTTCCTGGCTCTTGCGGCCTCAAGTATCGCAACATGGACACCAAGGCCGTGCGAGGCGTTCGGTCAAACGAGGGCCGCCTATTTCCACCAAGTGTAGATTCCGGGTGGGGAGAATACATTTATTTTTGTGTGTTTCCCAAAGGTAAATCAAATGCAACATTAAATATTCGCTACAACTAGTTTGTATCTCATCTAATTCCCTCTCATAGAAAATAAACGCAAAAGCGACGATAATTTAGAGAATTCAACAGCCAAAACGAAACGCATCGAGACGCGCCTACGATGCACTGACCTCATTGTTCTGGGACTCCCATGGAAAACAACTGAGGATAGCTTGCGGGAATATTTTGAGAGCTATGGAGAAGTGCTAATGGCCCAGATAAAGAAGGACGTCAAGTCCGGACAATCGAAAGGTTTTGGATTCGTACGTTTCGGCTCGTACGACGCTCAGATGCGTGTACTCTCTAATCGTCACCTCATCGATGGTCGCTGGTGCGAGGTGAAAGTTCCAAACTCAAAGGTATACAGACATACATATATTAAAAGGGGCCAGTTTTAAACTAATAAAATCATCTTCTAGGGGGTAGGTCATCAGGTGCCATGCAAAGTCTTCGTTGGCCGCTGTACAGAGGACATCAACTCAGATGACTTGCGCGAATATTTTTCAAAGTTTGGCGAGGTTACCGATGTGTTTATTCCCCGGCCATTTCGAGCCTTTAGCTTTGTCACATTTTTCGATCCTGATGTAGCGCAATCCCTGTGTGGCGAGGACCATATAATCAAAGGTAAGATCAACGTTTGCTCGAGTCAAAGACAACCATTGCGATAACAGAAATGATTCGTGGCTCGTTTAGGTGTATCAGTTCATGTTTCGAATGCCGCCCCGAAGGCCGAGCAGAGCAGAAGCCATCAAGGACAGAACTACAACTATAGCTCTGGCAACAGCTATGGCATGCATTCGTATCATCCTCAAGGCAACCACATGACATCACATCCTGGCCGAAGTGGGCACCACAGAGGTAATAATCAACACAATGCACACGGTGGTGAGAACCCGATTATCGCCAATAGTCACAGTCACAGTCACAGCAACAATGCCAGTGGTGGTTACGGAATGGGCGGACATAATTATGGTGGAAATTCGGGTGGGGGCTACCATAATAACAGTAGTAATCACGCTAGTGGTGGGCACATAAACCGTCAGGATGGTGGCGCTCCCTACAATAGACAGGGGAACTTTCATGGAATGAACCAGCCCCACAATGGAAACGTAGGCAGTGGCGGCTGGATGAACAGGGGACCCTTGGACATGCCTAACTTACAAGCATTAGGCATTAATTCCCAAGGATCGAGCTCGTCCAACCAAGGACAGAACATGAACAACCCTTTGGGGGTCGGACTTAATTTAAACTCATTGCCGATCAACCCTGCTTTGGTTGCTGCTGCGTTGAATCAGTGGAGCCTTGTGGGCAATCAGCTGCAAAATCAAAACCAGGACCAGCAGGCAAGCCTTCTACACTCTATCATTGTTTCAAACAAAAAACTCTCTCAGTTACTTTTCAGGGTGGCAATTTTTTATCATGGATGGCTCAGAACGGCGGACACAACGCCAACAACGTGAACTATGGCGGTCGAAAAGGATCAAACAACCCAAATAATCCAGGACCTGGTGGAATGATCAAAGTCGACAACTCTGCTTGTAACGATCAACAGGTTAGTTTCCCATTAAATTAAGTCCACAATTGTAAATAATTTATTTGTATTGTCTCTATTCCAGAATGGCTGTGCACCTGGTAACGCTGGTTGGTCAAATCAAAGTAGCGGCTCCCAGAATTCTGTGGATAAATCCAATTTTCTCTGAGTATATTTACCAATTAGATTTGGTACCAACCAATTTTCATTTAAGAAGTAAACTTTTGTTTAACCACAACTTGTGTAGCTTATTTAAATGTCTATTCTATTCTATTATTAAAAATGCAGGAAATATAAAATCGGCGCTCCGAAGTTTATATACCCTTGCAGTTCAACGACCCATAAATAATAATGGTTTATCAACAAATTTGTTATACACTTGATTATTTGTTTTGTCGATTGTCTTGTCGGTTTGATTCGCCCAAAGAATGTTGTGCAGTGTTAGCAAACATGGCTTAATCCATCGGGTTTGTTGTTTAGGGAATGCGTCACAAAATTTGAATACCCTGCAAGGGTATGCGTCATTTGTTTAAGTACTTGTGCATAAATTTGAAAATATGCACTAGAATTTGAATATAATGTCGAATAAATATAGAATGCATTAGTGTTATTTACAGATATCACTTGATATAGACTTAAAACAAAAATATCCATTGAAAAATAGAATCCAATTAAGCCAAAGCTAACTTTAATGTGTTTATCTGGGATTTTACGAAATGAATGTGTATAACAATCATCATCATCTGAAATTGATCGATTGATTGATCGACTAAGATGAACGTGCTGATAATATTGCTAACACGTACAAAGATCAGGTTACCACGTTTCAGAAATAATTTCATATATAAAATATAAAACATTAGGAAGAAGCTGATGGAAGTTAGGTAGCATTAGTTCATTTTAATTGGCTGTATTAGCATTGGTTTTATTTATTTGTGGGTTAAATTAACATATGCTTATATGTATTTGTATTTAGCTGACGCTAGCGTAGCAGCCAATCATACCCATTTCCTTGAGTACCCCAACTGTACACTTCTTAATTTTAGATCCTTTCGATTTCCTCTCTTTTTCGTGTGGATTTTCCCCAAACCCATAAAATAAGGGTCTTCAAAGTTAATCTATCTTTTAGAAAATTGATTTATCTATAGGCTAAAATTATATGTTAAGTGCTGAGAGTGCTAACTAGCTATGAATATTAAGCCGAATATCAAAATCCAGGAATATAATTTCTGATTATGGACAGAGAACGATTAACCCATTGCCGACCAGTGGGTATTTTAACACAGACTTTCGACAAAAAGTTGGCTTAGCTGATCTGAATACTGGGCTTTAAGTCTTATTTTCTGAATAATCAAAATGAAAACAAGTACTTATACTTAGCAAATCTTTTAAGAAATTGATTAATTAATCGTAGAAAAATATATGTTCAGCGTTTAAAGTCTTAGCTTGTTAGTAATATTAAGACGAACATTAAAATCGAAGTTTTTCTTCGCATCACAGCTTTTCGTGTCCATCAGTATATTTACGGTATATTTTACGAAGGAGACACAAACACGGACGATATATTTTGTTGATAGATACACTGTCACACTGACAACTGACATTAACGGAAAGCGGCAGAATTGTGTGAAGAAAAATTACGAAAGCCAGGTGGCTTGGACGATCAAAATGAACGAAATTATACAAGATAAGTTTATCCCGCAGCAATTGCTGTACTTTGTGGCTGGTCGGCGATGCTGCCAACAATTCCCATGCACATTTCGATCGTCAGATCACGAGATTTTCATGCGATACGCTGGCTCCTTGGGCTTGCGTACGCAATGCGTGTTTAGTAATGGCGAAATTATCAAAGTATTCAAGCAGGCGTGCCGCCATTATCTGGAGGAGCCCAAAATATTGACATTCTCGCCATCGACGGCAATAAACATTCTGACTATGTTGGGGCGAACAACCAATTTGGGAAAGGACGAACTCAAATTGAGCTCAGATTTCATACCACAGCGTGCGTGTGTTGCCGAAATTTTGCCGCCTCATCTACCATTTCCGACGATCAAGCCGCCTGCGCCGCGCGTTAAGGACGATACACAACGTAATTTGCTGAAAAAGTTTCCTGGTTTTCCTTTCATCGACAACGTCTTACAGACGCTGTATAAACAGCGGGTCGTGGTGTTCAGTGCAGATCTCTCGTGGGAAAAATCGGTGTATATGCCACTAATAATTTTTGAAGACTGCGAGTCTAAGAAAACAAATGCGAAAATCATTTGCATTGAGAAGGAAAACGTTTTGGCACTGCACAATAGCAAGCGCCTGGCACATTACTTCGCCGAGGATGTGGGTGAGACTGTGGGAATTCAATTGCCGCACAGCAGCAACATCAGCTCGGGAACGCACATAATATGCTCCACGGCGCAGTACGTGTTGCGCTCGCTGACAAGCCAGAAATGCATAAACATCAGCCACTTCATTGTAAACGATGTGCACCAGCATGATCCCTATATCGACGTGTTGCTGAGTGAACTGCGCAATGCACTGACCAAGCACCAAAACCTAAGAGTCGTTCTGTTGTGCCAAATGGCCGACGCAAAGAAGTTTACCGACTTTTTTGAAGAGGGCACCGAACTGATGCCGAAAGAAGGAGCCCCAAAAACGGCGCCCCGCATTTCGTATTTGGGTGACATTCACAGCCGCATTTCAGTGGCAGGCATTCACAAAGGACAGGATATTTACAAGGAGACTCCAGAGGTGTACAGAACAAAAACGCCCAGAAATGAGCAAATGGATAAATGTTTGGAGGCCTACGAGGAGTTCGGCACTGATCTTTCCATTCGGCCATTCCTGTATGCCGTCAACTACGACTTGGTTCCGGTCAACTATCGCCACTCGACCAGTGGCAAGACTGCTGTCCTAATTGCGTCTCAGCGCAACAATGCAAGCCACCTGCGCGTCTTGTTGTATATGGGTGCCGATCCATACGTTGTGGATGAGCAGCATCAGAATGCCATCACAGTGGCCGCATTAATGGAAAACAATGAGTGCATCGACGTCTTAAACAATTTCAGCCTGCGTGGCAATGCAATCAAAAGCGCCAAGCCCGACTTTGTTGACTACGATCTGATAATTGATTTGTTTTACTTGTTGCGCACCAAGCCGGAATATCCCTCAGGTAAGTCTACTTAAATATTATTATTGGGCTAAGGCTAGTCAGGGGTATTTCCCCTGAATAATCCATATTGTTCAGTTGTTAACGGTAGTATAATTTCATATAATTTTGGTTCTATAATTCATCGTGAGATTTGATGTAATGCTGCCCTGGAACGAGTTCCATCGCCATGTGCCTACACATGTATCGCATATATCGATACATATCGGCCTTTGCCATATAGGAATTGTTTTTTTTTATAGAATATAGAACCAGGCAGGCTGAAACACCAAAATGAGCACCTACCAGCAAAGCAGCGAGGGGAAATTTATCCCGGCCACAAAGCGTCCAGATGGCACCTGGCGCAAGGCGCGTCGTGTGAAGGATGGGTATGTGCCCCAGGAGGAGGTGCCGCTGTACGAGAGCAAGGGCAAGCAGTTTGTCGCCCAAAGACAGACTGGAGTGCCGCCTGGCATGTGTCCCATTCTAGCGGCAGAGTCAAAGAAGGAGCGCGAGAAGCAGGAGCGGACGAAAACAAAGAAGCAGGACAAGAACAAGGAAGGAGTTGACTCAAGTGGCCCCAGTGGCCCCAGTGGCGGGTCACCGCTTAAGGTTGTCCAACCGTCGTCTGACAGCAAGATCACCAATGTCAATGGGATAACAAACGCTCTGGAGGATAAATTGAAGATCAGCTTGCCCGAAGAGGTCGATACTGAAAAACAATTAAAAAAGCTTCGCAAGAAAATCCGCGAAATCGAACAAATCGAGAGCAGGATTCAGGCCGGCGAGCATAAAAAGTTGGACAAAGACCAGCTCGACAAGGTGAAAAAGAAAGCCGAAATCCTAAAGCAGCTAACGGCATTGGAGAACAGCAGTGATAATGCGCAGCCACAGTCACAATCATAGCGAAATGTTGAACTCAACTCTGCCTCTGCCACCAGGCATTTCTAATGCTAAAATTTAAGTTTAAAGAAAACACACTGACCTGATGATGTCGCGTCGCTCTGCCCGAAAACACTCACACACACACACACTCATTTATGCCTGTTAAATAGTTCTACATATTAGTTATAGCTTAAGAAATGCCATTTTAGAAATATGTATCAGATAATTGTATCATTGTATCTGTCTTTAATGTTCAGTTCAGTTCATTTGATTTGATTTGATTGAAGGAATCACCGGGTGTATTTGTGTAGGAAAACAACATTGTAAATCAGATGTAATAAATCTACCTTCTTTTATTGATAGAACTATGTGCAAATGTCATATGGATAAGGGATATTAAGGGATCACTAATCCATGTCTCTCTTTATTTCAGGAAACATTTTGGTCATTTTGCCCACCTACTATCATATTGTTAAGCTGAACTATATGCTGCTCAGTCATTGCATGAGCGGCAAACTGCAGGAATTCTCAATATTCTTGCTGCACGAGAATATGGGCGGGGAATACATTGACGCTTTGGTTAATGCTCGCAACGACACTGACAAGGTGGTGCTGACCACTGATATAATTGAATCGTTGCCTCTTCAGGTGCCGTTCAAGTACCTAATCGACACTGCCTGCAAACAGTATTCCATTTACAATTGCAGCAGCTACTGTTCTGAGCACCGATACGAATGGGTGGCCAAAGACTGTCTCTTGAGAAGGGAATCCATCGTCGATGGTAATGGTTTATTTGGTTTTTTGCATAGGATATGATGACTAGAGCTAACATAATGTTTTTTGCAGGAGCTGCTTCTGATACGCAATGCTTTCGATTGTTATCCAAAAGCACGTACAATATGCTGAGTGAAAATAGCACACCCCTGCTTCAAAGAATACAGCTGGACAAGATCTGTTTGACGGTAAAGGCATTGTCGCCGAACAAGATTATCAGTGAATACCTAGGCTATACCATTGCGCCACCGCCACTTATTAATGTGCACCATGCCGTGCAGTTCCTGAAAAAAATTGAGGCCCTGAACGAGGTGGAAGATCTCACTTGGCTGGGCTGCCGACTTCTGGACATACCAGTGCCTTGCCAGCTTGGACGGATGTTAATCTATGGCATTCTTCTTCAATGCCTGGATCCAATACTGACTATAGTGACCTCGCTGTCGACGACGGATCCGTTGAGTATTCCCTTTACTGAGGACATTGACAGCCTGTGGGATCGATTCACGATTTATATTCAGAATCTCATCAAGAATGAACGTGGTCGCCTGGCAGATAATCAGTTTTCGGACCACTTTATATTCCTGCGACTGTTTCAGGAGTGGCAGAATCGGCAGAAGAGCAAAATGCCAATACTGTATTTCACCAATGAATACGACTTTATTCTGAATGGACTGATGGAGCAGTTGAGCTTCATCCGGTCCTATATTGTGTGCTCCCTGCGAGCTGCACACTTGATTCATTTCCGTGGCATGCTAAGCATGCAGAGTCTCAATTTGTTGTCGGGAAATTGGCACGTGGTAAAGGCAGCCCTAGCAGGCGGCATGTATCCAAATATCTGTGTTCTGGATGTTGGAAAATCGTGTCTCAAGTCGGCCTATTCAGAGAAAGTGCACCTGCATCCAAACACAGTGCTGCGTGACTTTCTAGAGCCATTCAGCAGCTCAGCTCTTAATTTCCGCAGCCCCTGGGTTGTCTGCACTAAGCAGAAGAACTATATTTTATACGCCACTATGGTACTTCCCCTAGCAGTGGCTATGTTTGCTGGTAAGTTTGATTGTCACGGCTTAAACTAACACTTTAATTGATCCTTTAATGCATCCCTTTTTTAGGTCCCAGCCGAATAAGATCTTCGCAGATAAGCGTCAGCCAAAATGATAACGTTAATGTCTATTTCGATGAATGGATCTGGATGGTTATGCCAAAAACTGTAGCCGAGCTGGTAATGAAAGCGCGTCAGTGTTTCTTCAATGGATACCACGAATTTTTAAAGCACTGCAGCGATCAGGACAGATGGAACGCCGACGCTGTCACTATGGCCAACCAGGTCTTGCTCAATGAAACATTAGCCAAAGTATTTGAAAACGAAGATGTGTCTGTGGGTTTCTCAAAGACTCCGTCCATTTATTATCGGCCAATTGTAAAGCTGCCAACGACTTACCTGCTGACCGTAAATCGTCACTTTAGCTGGAATCAGGAAATAGAAGATAGCAAAGAGGATCTGGTCAAACGGACATCACCACATTTTGATATCAATTCGCACTTTGTGGAGCGACAGTTCTTTGTGCTGCACACCAAAGAATCCTGTGACGATTTCTACAAGACCACCAACACTCCCTTCATTGAATCGGTACTGGGAAAGTTTGCCAGACCCATCGAGTCGCCCAATCGACATATTTTCGTGATTTTATACAAAAAGAATGAGGATGAAATGTTAAGCATCAGCCGTGCTAAAACAATTAACGGAGAATTTACATTGAAGGAATACTTTCGAAATGTTATTCCAGTGTATGAAATCATGTAAGTATACTCGTGAGACATGTATTCGACTACTCGACTTAATGTATGCCGCATTCTCTTCCAGCGATGCTTGCCGATCGTTGAGTGTTAGCATGCCCAACTTTGATGGCCGTTTAATGTCCAGCCTAATTGATAAAAGAGTTGGAAACTTAATTATGGACTTGTTCGCTTTTCGCAATCATTGGATTCATAAGCGATAAATTTATCCTGATCTTTGTTCCTTATGGGCGGACGTGCGTACTGCCGAGCCTCACAATCAAAAATATCATTTAATGTTGTACTCCTTCTGTTGAACTTTAAGAAAGTTGGACGTGTTATTGTTTTTGAGTTAATTCCATTGAATTGTTTTCTTATGAAATACTTTGTATGTACCGTATATTGAATCAGTGATCATCGACTGCTAACGAAAGTAAAGTCGTATGGAATAAAGAGATCCTGCAGAATCAAGGCGCTGTGTTAAGACCTGTTTCAGTTAAGATAAATATGTAAACACAAAACACTGTTAGTTAGGCACTGCGTTTAATATTTCTATAAAAATATTCGAGATTAGTACAGAGACGGACATCTACACAGAAATGCTTTAAAATGCTTAGATTAGATTATAAATTGGATTCAATGGCACCCGCAGGATTTCACAATCATATTTCTATACTTCTTCAGGTTGACATTCTCGTCATTGAGATGATACAGCACAGGCAAGGCGCCCAGTCTCGTCGGCGCACAGCATGGCTTCGGCACCTTCTTGGGCTCGAGCAGATGCACCAAAGTCTGCACAATGGCATGATTGGTGGCATTCATGTGTGCGTTGAGAGGGAAATTGCACTCACCGCTGCAATAAAATGCGCCATAGCCCTCTGGGGCGATTATCCAATCGTGCCAGCCCAAATCCTTAAAGTCGATGTAGAGGGTTTGCATCTGACAGCTGCGTGTATTCTCGATGGGTACTTCCAAAAAGGGATGCACTGGCACCGACTTCTTCTTCTTGCGCTGATGCAGCGTGCTCCGCTTACTTCTGTGGTGACTACTGTGCGAGGTTGTCTTGATCAGCTCGGGCCCCCTGAAGAACCCAATCATAAATGGCTGGTATTCGTCGTCCACTCTGCGGTGAATCAGTCCAATGTCGTCCAGTTTGACTTCTCGATCGGGCCGATTGACAGCGTGGGCACCAATGTAAATGCCGTGGTTCTCCTTGGAATGTATCAGCCACTCGTGCAGGCCCTCGGTAACGTTTAGTTCCAGCCAGCCGACATAGTCGCCAGTGGTATTCACCGAGGACAACGCTTCCATCGTATTCTCACCCGATTCGCCCAATCCCATAGAGTACACGGTGATCGTGAATTGCTTGTTTGCTGTGAGCCATTTGCCTTCGTTTGAGTTCTGGTATATACGCAGCTCAGCCATTACCAGATAGTTGTCGTCTGGCACCTTGGAGACGTCGAACCACAGGCGGCGGCCATGTTCGTGGCGTAGCTCCTCCACGTTGTGATTGCGTTTGTTCAAAAAAGTCATTATAATGTCGCTCTCGTCTATGGCGCGCTTGTCCAGGTCCGTGATGAAGTTTTCTTCTCCATCTCCAATTCTTTCATCGGACATAGTTTCGGCGTTGCGTTTTGAGCGATGGCTGTGCTCAGTTTCATCGTCGGTATTGCCATTGCCACCTCCCAGTCCTTCCTCCTCCGTGATGCGGTGGTAAACGTCCAGCAAAAATTTTGGTGCAGACTTTCTCAAGGACAACTGATGGCTGCTGTGGTGGGAGGGGCGCTCGGCTATGCCCAGGAACTCAAGTATCTCGTACGAAACATCCAGCTTGTCATCGTCGCTCAGCACGCGGTGCATGATCGTCTGATCTTTGCCATTGTCTATATAGATCCCTGACTGGGTGGCGTCAATCACAGTCGGCGTCGTAGAAACGAATATTATCAGAACCAGTCCCAGTGCCAGTGAAGCTAGAGCCGCAACAGCTTCCGAAGTTTTCCTCATACTCGAAAACATGATGCTCTGGAAGGATCACAGTAATTGGTAATGTCTACTAGAGCTATCTTCTGGACGATGGCATTTAGTTGGGCAAAAACATTTATTAGTTTTTAATGGTTTTTTAATGAGCAGAACTTGTGGAAAATTCTGACGCACTTTGTATACAGATTCAGATTGTTGTGTGTATCTTAATCTTGAAGATGCATTTTTTCTTTAGATTTTGAATCAGTTGGCAGAGCGATCCTCAGGGCTGCACAAACATGGAATAATTTTCAGTTGTTTTGAACTACTACGATCTGCCTAATATATTTTATTTGATGAGACTGATGATTAGAAAAACAAGAGAAATGTATTTAAAAAGGTGTGCACTGCATTCCGTACGGTTACACTGTTCAGACAGCTGCTTGGTTTTTTTTTAAGTTAATAAAATGCACAATATTTGTTTTATATTCATGAAAATTAATAAAAATAATAAATATTAATATCCATATAGTTTTCATTCATATAGCTGCCTTAATTAAATTCTACTTGTCTTTATTATATAAATATTTAATTTGGTTTTTTGTTCTTGAATGAACTGTCATATCCATATACTGGTTAGTGCTGCAGCCCTGGCAATCAGCTGATTTATCGATATCTTGATATATTTTACTACCACACGAATATAAATATTTTGAGATACTTCCGTACGGTACGCTTCGCTAGTTTCCGTTGTATTGTTTTGGTGAAAGTGTGTAAATTCAAATCGTTCTTTCAGAGCAAATCAAGGTCCATTATAAATAAGAAAATATTTTTACTACAACAAGATAGTTTATTTGAGTGCCACCACAAGAATGCTGGTCACAAGCATGAGCCAGGCACAAAAAATGTATTAATTACTAAACCTGTTTCGATTTCGCAGTAGAATTTCCAATGCTTTTATATACTACATACATATGTTCGTACATATATATGTAGCAATTAAGGAACACAAATACATATGTATAAATGTGGGACCAACTAGCATAGTGTTTGATTAAAATGCCATTTTATTGGAACGATAGGCTAGGCTCTGTTCAAGTTCAGTGTCAATGCAATCAAAGGACAGGAATGGGAATCTAGGTCTACTGGCCGAATGGCACACACCCTTTGAGTCACTAGAGGCATCTCATGCTTCGGAATGATGTCACACAAACTAGCATATATGTATTGTCGACATACAAGCAGAGAGACATTTATATGTACATATATATTTATATCCGTATAAATTATATTTGGGTGGGAGCTGCGAATGAGCTCTGCTCTCCAAAGAATAAACCTAATGCTCGTTGCGTGAAGTAAAGTAATGTAATTGAAGCCCCAGCCACGTTGGGAATTTGAAATACTTTTTCAAAGTAGTTAACCCATATTCGCATATTCGTGGGTGTGTGCCGGGCTGGGCTATCATGTGAGGGCCAAATTAAATAACTACATACAAATTGGGATTTTCGATGCCTACATATATGAATCGTTTTTTAATCTTTTGCACACTGCTATTATAAGTCGAATTTAAGTCTACGTTTTCTCTGTCAATCCAATGTGTACTTGCACTTAATATTATTTCCATTATTATACCAGATAGCTAAAAGAGGAAGATGGATGATCTAAAGGGATTCTTGCGACAAGCCGGTCAGGAATTTCTGAATGCCGCTGGTGATGCTGCAATGGGGGCCGCCAAAGATGTGGTTGGCTCTGTGATAAACGAGATATTTATCAAGAAGGAGGCCGACACCAAGCGGGTGCTTCCCAGCATCAAGAACATGAGAGTCGTAAGTGTATAACTTTAAATTAAAACAAATTAAATTAAATAAATAGGGATAAACGACATACATATACACATTAAAATCCATATGCATGTATCCACACTCTTAACAAATAAATACATTCCATTCAATCGTTCAATACTGTCATTAGCAACCCTTGCAATCATCTCAAGCCGTATTCTATGGGAATGTAAGTACATGTTGGTTTTGACACATTTTCGTTTCGAAGGATAATGTGCTATCAAATTGTTGTAATGTGTCCTTGTGTGTACTATCTTGATGTGTGTACTTATATGTAAAGTCTACTTGTGTCCTCAATTTAAACAAAAATACACTGTACATTGTATTAATTCATTTTTATCAACAATTTTTGCATCTAAACTACTAAAATTAGTCAAGCAATAATCCGATTATGTGATTTTCTAGTTGGGTGAGACAAGCTCGAATCTGGGACCCTACTCTGAGGTGCAGGACTATGATACAATCTTGAAGAGCTGTCTATCCAGCGGATCACTCTTTGAAGACCCCATCTTCCCGGCTGGGAATGAGGCCCTTATGTTCTCTCGTCGGCCAGATCGTCACATCGAGTGGTTGAGGCCCCATGTAAGTGATCTGGAATGCAATGAAAACTTCTAGCAAATGAATTTAATTCTATAAATTAATATATGTGTTTAGGAAATCGCAGACAATCCCCAGTTTTTTGTAGAGGGATTCTCCCGATTTGATGTCCAACAGGGCGAACTTGGAGATTGCTGGCTCCTTGCAGCCACCGCCAACTTAACGCAGGAAGCCACTTTGTTCTTCCGCGTCATTCCACCCGAGCAGAGCTTCGAGGAGAACTATGCTGGAATATTTCACTTCCGTTTCTGGCAGTACGGTAAGGTTAATCATACATACCATACGTATCGGCAAACGAATCAACTAATAATTATTTATGAACTAAACCAATTAAAACAGGTAAATGGGTAGATGTGACTATTGATGATCGTTTGCCAACCTCTCGTGGGGAGCTAGTATATATGCATTCCACTGAGAAAAACGAATTCTGGAGTGCGCTCTTGGAGAAGGCCTATGCCAAGTATGAAAAAACAACTAACTTTATTTATTTATGTAATATTATATAGCGCTTATTTATTTTGTGAATTCTTAGACTTCATGGCTCCTATGAGGCTCTCAAAGGTGGTAGCACGTGTGAAGCCATGGAGGACTTTACTGGCGGTGTCAGCGAGTGGTACGACCTCAAGGAGGCGCCCGGTAATCTCTTTACAATATTACAAAAAGCGGCGGACCGTAATTCAATGATGGGCTGTTCAATTGAGGCGGATCCCAATGTGCTAGAAGCGGAAACTCCTCAGGGGTTAATTCGTGGACACGCATACTCTATTACCAAGGTTCACACACTGTTCTAAATTATGCTAAAAATGCCATTTGTGGGAAAGCTAATGAACATCTTTGGATTATGTATTTGCAGGTCTGCTTTATAGATATAGTAACACCAAATCGGCAGGGTAAAATACCAATGATACGCATGCGAAACCCATGGGGAAATGAAGCCGAGTGGAATGGTCCTTGGAGCGACAGCTCCGCTGAGTGGCGATATATCCCTGAAGAACAGAAGCAGGAAATTGGTCTCACTTTCGATAGAGATGGCGAGTTTTGGATGTCATTCCAAGATTTCCTTCACAATTTCGACAGAGTTGAGGTAAGAAACGGCTGTTTATACTATCTAGGATTTGTTTGGATTGTAAAATATGTTTGTTCATACCTTTCCAGATTTGCAATTTGTCTCCGGACTCGTTGACAGAGGACCAACAGCAAAGTGGCAAGCGCAAGTGGGAGATGTCCATGTATGAGGGTGAATGGACCCCAGGCGTTACAGCTGGCGGGTGCCGCAATTTCCTGGATACTTTCTGGCACAATCCCCAATATATTATTACGTTGGTGGATCCTGATGAGGATGACGAGGAGGGACACTGCACAGTTATTGTTGGCCTAATGCAGAAAAATCGTAGATCAAAGCGCAATATGGGAATGGAATGTCTGACCATTGGTTTTGCCATTTACAACCTTAACGAGCGCGAACTGGAGAACCGCCCACAAGGCCTCAACTTCTTTCGGTATAAGTCGTCGGTTGGACGTTCTCCCCATTTTATTAACACCCGAGAAGTATGTATGAAATTGTTTCATATTTTATATTATTAACTCCAAAAACATTGGGGTTTTGTCTTAGGTGTGCGCCCGGTTCAAGTTGCCTCCCGGACACTATCTGATTGTGCCTTCCACTTTTGATCCGAACGAGGAGGGAGAATTCATCATTCGAGTATTTTCCGAAACCCAAAATAACATGGAGTGCGTACATGTAGAAAATGATAATGAGTTTGTATATTAGAAATAATTCGGGTCGCTACATTTACGGGGTTTTTCTAATTTAAAAGCAACTAATGTGCAATATGGGTATGTGAAGACACAGTATTTACATACGTATAGATATGTTTGTTTTTAGTGCAAGTAGTTGTTGTAGCTCCCCAATGTGTTTATTTTGAAATTGGTTACCCTCCCATCCCCCTGTACACATTCCACTAATGGCAAATTCATTATATTTACATACATACTTCGATTGCAGCTTATCTCTGACCCCAATGCTCACAGTATTCATTACAGAATAATAATAAACAGAAAACTGACTAAAGTAAGTCTGTCCGACTGTTTGAACAACTTTATCTTAGATCTAGACTAACTTAAAGGAGTATTCGGCTTCTCATTCTCATAGTAACAAAGTATTTGAAATAGTGCAATTTATAAGATATTTATATTTACATCGTGTTACCTGTTACCGGAGTAATACCTACATATGTTGATTACAGAACACTAGAATACTACAAGCGCCCTAACTTTTTGCTACACTATTGCAATTGATCGATTGTTGAGATTACCGTACCGGTCTATTTTTAATTCTGTCTTTAATGTATTTTCTCATGTACCTATATAAATATTAAATACGGTAATAAACAGAGCGGCAGAGAACCCCTTAACAACGTCTTGTGCTTTAAAATAAACCCCTTTATCTGTAGAACATAAGTCAAAATTTCCCGTGACATTTTTCTAAAACATGTGTAAATTCGGCATGCTTAGATCTTGTGATATTACATTTACAACAGCCATTAAATATTGAATATCAATTCCGTTTCATTTTCATCAATCATTTCACTTTCTATCTCTATTTAGAGAGAATGATGATCATGTGGGGTACGGTGGCAAGGGCGACACGGTAAGTAGTTAGATTTAAACAGGATTACTAGATAATGTTTTGCTTTGGTTTAAAGATAACACCGGGATACCCAACACCAAAGCCATTGGATCCTCAGAAGGAGAGCTTGCGACGTTTGTTTGACAGCATCGCCGGAAAGGATATGGAAGTTGATTGGATGGAGCTGAAACGTATACTGGATCACTCGATGAGAGATGGTAAGAGTACATCTCACTGAGTACATCACTGTGCTAATGTGTGCTCTGCTTTTCCTTTAGACTTGCCAAAGCCAATTGTTTATAATCGATTTTCCAACAACAATGCATTTGAGACTCAGGCAGGCCCTGGCGAAGACGGCGGTGGCGCCTGTGGACTTTTGTCACTGATATGTGGCCCATTCTTAAAAGGTACACCATTCGAAGACCAGCTGGGAGCGAATGACCCGTCGAGTAAGAGGCTAATGGGCGATAACCCATCGGATGGTGGCGCCATAACGTCAGGTGGTAAGGGAACTGAAAACCCACATAGAATATAAAATGTTAAATTACCAAATTATTATAGCAATCGTCGACGAGACTCACGGCTTTTCTAAGGACGTATGTCGCTCCATGGTGGCCATGTTGGATGCTGATAAATCTGGAAAGCTAGGATTCGAAGAGTTTGAAACTTTGCTGTCGGACATCGCCAAATGGAAGGCCATCTTTAAGGTCTACGATGTTGAGAACACTGGCAGGGTGTCAGGATTTCAGCTTCGGGAAGCACTTAATTCTGCTGGCTATCACTTAAACAATCGGGTGCTGAACGTTTTGGGCCATCGATATGGTTCCAGAGACGGACAAATTGCCTTTGATGATTTCATCATGTGTGCAGTTAAAATAAAAACATATATAGGTAAGATATTCCCACTAAAAAAAAAAGTCCCTTTAGGTCAACTATCACGCCAATTAATATCTTGCAGAAATATTCAAGGAGAGGGATACTGAGAAAAATGAAACAGCCACGTTTACATTGGAGGAATGGATCGAACGTACAATATATTCTTAAGCCAGTGCCGATTAACACCTAGCTAGCGAATTTGTTTGAGCCCACATTTACAAGTAATCTCATTCTGTTTGAATCGTATTCATATTGTTGCGATACTTGGCACTATATGTATACATAGTACAAAGCTATTTTCATACCAATAATATGTTGCCGGCCGAAATTGCAAATGTTTTCTGCTCTTTAATATCTATTGTCAAATCCCCGAGATATTTTGAATACAAAACTAAACATTTATGTCTCTCCGAATTATAAAATAGGTATATAAATTTACACGGTGTGAACTTATTCAATTTAATTTCATCTACTAAATCAGCATTTAAAACCAACTGCTAATTTCAAATATTAGTTGTATTTTCAATCGTCATTCAGGGGTATTTTGGGTATTTATTTATAAATTTAATATGATACAATATTTATTCGCCGAGCAGATCAAATTAACGCCATCCATTATTAATAAAATTCGCATTTGTTTAGTAGTTGAATTTATTTTATTTTTTGTTGTGATTGAATCTAGCACCAACATAATGTGCAATGAGTGAAGCATTATATTGATCAAATATAAATCACATTAAAACATAAAACACACCCGAAATAATTATTATAAAATGAACATTTAGTAGTATTAGATTGGGCTGATTATCTATAAATATCATTACTAGGCATCTACAATCATAAACGCGTCTTTTTTTTCTTAAATTATTTTGACTACATGACGAGGAGAGAATGCGGCCGGCCGAGTCGTCAATCTTGAGGGATTACTATGTGAGTAACTAACTATAAGCAAAATTCTCGAATAGTTCGCAGAAAAGTTATTTTAGTGTATACATATTTTGATTTATAATATATGTACATCAGTTTCATGCAATCATGCGGATTAAAGATAGACACACAGAGCGCTTAAGCACTTAGAATTACGCATGGCCATGGACAGCGGACGTGTTACAATACATGTGTTCTGTAGGGCTACTCAGAGCGTCTTCTACGATCCGTAGAGGTTCGTTTGTAGCCCTTGTCGTATCTAAGCTGATGCTAATTCCTCTCTGCAAGCTGCCCACAGCTCCCCGATCCCCGGTGGCACTATTATTTTGCAACTGCAATTGTGAATTCAAGCTTAGATGTAAATCATTATCGTAAATCCCCGTACAGGTTCCTGCAGGGCCATCTGTGTTTTGGAGAAGCTCTCCAGATGTGCTTGCTTTAATATAGCCGCTCATCTCGCTTGTTGGCTCCATTGCCACGGACATTGAAGGCGCCTCAAAGCAGGGCACACAAGTCGATTCTTTAGCGTTGACTGGCGGGAATATATGCTGATACCGCTGTCGAATTGAGTCAACGACATCAAAAAGGTTCTTCGCATCCATCGCTAATATGTGGGCGGCCGATAGCATACTCCTGGAATAGCAATAGCAATTACTTTAATTTCAACAGTCTTGTGAAGGGCCAATATAACAATACATACTTTCGATATTCACTGTCTAGAGTCGTATCGCTATATTGCTGTGCTAATCGCATCGCTGAAACGAGTTCGTGCATGTCTTTGGATAGAACTTTATGTGCCATTTGCACTTCCCTGTGAAGGTAAAAGGAGTATAATGAAATGAATACATGATTCCGATGGATTGCAACGCAGTATATCCTTACTTGAGAGCCTGCGCTGGGAACAGCACAGATATTTTGTCCACCGATGTGAGTAAGTTTCTTAGCTCAACGCCCACATTCTTAACCAAATCCAAATAACCCTCTGTATTTGCCTTTTCAACACCCTGCGATAGCGCCATTATGGACTTGACTACCAATGTGGTTGCGCAGTACACCTCGTCATTGGCACGGTTGACTGGTCGACTGGAAGGCGAAGTGCCAAAGCTTCTGGAGCTTGAACCGGGATGCTGTTCTTCACCAGCTGCCAGGGAGGATAAGTGATCCGCGGATGAGTTGTTCGACTTTAGCGATAGCTGATTAGTGTTTGGCGTCATCGGTCGGGAATTAGCATTCGAGCAGTCGGGTAGGCTAGATGGTCCGGTTGACATTAAATCTAGCTTAAACATGTGCGACTGCTGCTCGGTGTTGGCACCATGGGGAATTGAGCTGGATCGCCTCCGCTGTAAATAAATGCAATTTGAGAGTGCTTCTACCTAAAATAGTTGTGAAAGCTTACCAGCAACTCCTCCTGATATAACCATTCACCGTCGCTGTTGCTATCTTTGCGCTGCTGCCTTAGCTTCTCCCCCAAAACATTTTGAATGACCTGAAAAGATAAATGCCCGCGGTTATCACTGCGCCAACTTAAACTGCGACAATTAACTTAAATAATACACACAAAAAATCATTTTAAATATTACAAATAATATTGCAGCATAAGTAAAAAAGAATAATGTAATAAAATGCGAACGCCTTGCTGCCAACGTGTCCAAGATAGGTCCAAACCTGATTTCCCGCAGAGTCAGCGTGCAAGGTGGCCATGCAGACAGCTCCGTCCAAGCTGCCATCGAGTGTTAAATTTTGAGGGCTAGAAAGCATCCATTGCCGGTCCCATTCGCCCTGATTGGGGCCTTCAACTAAGCTATTATGACACACAAAACCCAACGGGTCGGTTGCCATGCCACCGAACATCTGTGGCTCTATCCCCATTCCATCTAATGTGTTTGCTTGGCCGAGCTCCACTGGGCACACGTTCATCGATGAACTATAACTCGAATTCTGCCGCGCAGATACACAGGTCTTGAGTCCGGCTCCTCCAAAATCGTAAATTTCCTCGGGAAGCGAATCACATTCAATTGAGTTTTTCATTTGCTGGCGATATGCGTGAAAATACGTGTTTCGCTCCATGCTTCTCGAGCGCTCTGACGTGCTACTGCAGTGTGCCGGTTGTAGGTTGGCAGTATTGTAGAAAACCAAATTTTGAGTAGACATTAATGATTTGTGACGCTCCAAGCTGCCACCTTTTGAATGGATGCCCTTGCTGCCGGCCGGTGCCGGTTGGTGTCTCTCGAGACTGCCGTACAGGCTATAGCCTGCTATTTTCGATATTGCCGGGTTAGACATATCCATATGCATTTGCATTTGCTCTTCCATGTGTGGTGGACAAACAACGAAACTACTCTTTGAGGGCAGACTTCCCGAAAACATTCCTTTCGGCGGCGGCCTCGCATAAGCAAGGTTATTTGCTACAATGGATGGGTCAGGGGAGTTAGCTGCAGGTGCAGCAGCAGCCGCAACGGTTAGTGGGTTTATGTTAGAGGAATAATGAATTTTTTGCTTTTCAGACTCGGCGATCGGGTCAAGCTTCAACAGATCGGCTGCTGGAAGCTTGGTGGTCTTAAGCGAAACATTCGATTTGCTGTCATCTATCCCTACAGCTAGAGTATTAAATACCGAAGCGGGCGTGGTGTATGCTGCAGGATTGATCCCTCGTTTTTGGTTCTCCATCATCAGCCTGGCCAGCACCGCAGGATTCTGTGCAATTATATAGGTTTGAGGTATTCCCGTTGTCTCATCCACTTTGGACATCATGCTTGGAATATCTAGAAATGTGGAAACAAAACCTCAGTACACGTTACGAAAACTCTGTTTATTAGAATTTTGGCTTACCAGAGTCATGCATTGCTCTTGCTGGCTTCAATGGCGGAATGTCAGACTCCTCACTGCCCACCCAGGACATGGTTACCAATCTTCGGTGCTCCCGTTTCAGGGTCTCGGATGTGCTAATACTATCCTCCATCAGAATTTCACTGAAATATACAAGTAGCATTGTTATCTGGCTTGTACTGATGGGGGGCGGGGTTAAACTTACTTCAAGGTCTCCTTGATGCGCTTAAAATTCGGTCTTTTCAATGGTTCGTAGGCCCAGCACTGAGACATGAGCGAGTACAGTCGAGGGGGGCAGTTTGGTGGCAGGGGTAGCCGCTCTCCGTTTTCCAGCTTCGAAATCACGTCACTGTTTTTCACGCCTTGAAACGGCTTGACGCCCAGCATGAGTATCTCCCAGATGCAAACACCTAAACGACAGTTTATTATTATTATCCATAGATATGTGAAATATATATACGTAGATTCATACCAAACATCCACACATCGCTGGCTGTCGTAAATCTTCGAAAGTTGATTGATTCGGGAGACATCCATTTAATAGGCAGGGCAACTAAAAACGAATTTCTCATTTTATTAAACATAATGGCACGGAAATGACTGTGGCTTACCTGTGGGAGTGGAGTGATAATACGACTGGTCGGAAACCCAGCGGGATAGGCCAAAATCAGCCAGCTGAATAAGATTTTAGGAGTTTAGGCATTGCCAAAAAGAATATATATCATATATTGTACCCACCTTAACGCACGTGGGAGAGCTAACGAGTACATTGCGTGCCGCAATATCTCTGTGTACGAATTTTTTAGACTCCAAATAGCTAAGGGCCGTGGAGAGCTGGTAGCAGTATTTAAGCAGTGTTCCATGAGTCAATCTAGTGAATGTTATCAATTGTTAATAATGGAAATCAAAGTTTTATTATAATTTAGCCTTGGTAAGCACCTGTCGCTGTTTGCCTTTAGGTAGGCGCGCAGCTCGCCAAGCTTTGCCAGCTCCATTACTATCCAAATGGGCATTACGCTGCATATGCCAATCAAACGTATAATGTGTGGATGGTCGAATTTCTGCATAATATCTAAAAGCGAATGGCAGGTAAGGATACATTGAATAGCATTGAATGAGAATGAATGCACGTACAAGCTTCGGCTAGAAAGTTCTCTGTCTTTTCTGGATCTTCGTTTGCTTTGCAAGTTTTAATCGCAACTTGAATCACGTCTGGTCTGCCATTATCTTTGCCATTCGCATCCAAGTGTTTGCCCTTAATAGACTTGGGGAGATTGTAGCTGCCAACATAAACATCTCCGAATTGGCCAACTCCAATCTTCGCACTCGGAGTGATGTGGGATCTATCCAGCTCGTAGTTTCGAACTGTGGGAGTTGAGTAATCGCCCTCTCCTTCCAATAAACCAATTTCAGCATAATCATCCGTCAGCATTGGTTTTCTCGGGCTCGAAGCTGCTGCTTGGGCTGGCTCGACCGGGAGATCATTGGTCTTTGTCGCTGCGCTGTCATCGCTCGATGCGCTCGTCTCTCGTTGCCAAATTGTAAATTCGAGGTCTTTTGATAGCAGCCTGCAATATCCGTCAATAAGGTCGGCAATGCTTTCGGCAGTCTGAAATATACAAATATAGTAGCGTATGGTAATAGTGGCTAATCATTTACTCACATTAATCCCATTGCAGGTTATAACCAGATCTTCTACATTATTTGAAGCAGAGATTTTAATTTGAGTTTTGATTTTCTGGCAATTGCAATTTAAATTATTTGACTCAGTTTCAGTGGTATTTTCCATGGGCTTGGGCAGCTTTTCCTTTGGTAGAGTGCAGGTTCTGATGGCAACAACATCCTTGAACTGAGCAACATTCGTCAAGCTCGCTTGTGGATGAGTCTGGTAAGAGATTCCTGCAATTGCACGAGTAAGATATGAAATATCTATGTGTATGTATTCACAAGTGTATGTGTTTTATAATTACCAATGTGAGGACCAACGTGGAGAATTCCCGATATATTCCATGCCGAGCTAAGGGTGACCGCAAAGTGCTCATAGTTCGTTAAATAAATATTTTTCAAAAGATCGAAGAACCTGGAAGGATATAATAATCATTAAATGGAGATTACACAGGTACATTTGGTAAAATACATACCGCGTCAAGTACTCAATGTCGTTATAATTATAGACCTTTTTGTATCCGACTTGTATCATTTTCTTAAGATTCTTTGGCTTTGTTGTGACTATCACAGATTGTGGAAGAAAACTCTTAAATCCGATTTCCTTTTCAATGTAATCAATGTGCTGCTTCTTGTCCGGTGCTTTCACAGTGATGTTCTTAAAGAAGTGACGAATGCCTAGGCAACACAGCTGCACCGCCAGCTCAGTGTCCACCGTTAAATTGGCCTGAATGAAGTCTTCTTTTACCTGCCACGACCAGAACGCGTATTTAGAAACGGTGGAAAAGTGTTGATTGAAATGTGTATTATGCACCTGATCAAAGTAGTAAAAGCATGTGGCTTTATCCTCATCGAAAAGATCTTGAATACTGTTTGGCACATAGCGGACCCTCAGTTCCACTCGCCACACTCTGTTGGTAATGACTCTTCGGCCATGGTCCTGATACTGCAGTTTGCCCTCGCCGAGCTCCGCTTTGGCAGCATCATTATTGGGACAGTCCACGTTTGAGCAGCCTGGGGACAAGATGTGCGTCAGGACCTTGCGCATGGGTGTTGTCCTGGCCAGCCACAGCTCCTCTTTAGTGATCATATTGAGCATTCGGCACGCGTATCGCTGAATACTCGGCGCTCGGACATCTCTGCTGAGGTCCTCGACTGTCTTCTTAATGACATTGCACACAGTTTCATTTTCGTTGAACCGAACTGCCTTGAAACTTTTGTTCGGCATATTCACATGAAGAACGTAGTCCTCGCAGAATGCTGTACAAAAGAAAATCAATGTGACGTTGCACGAACTTGGACCAAATGCAGCACAACTTACGCTCATTGCTGGTGGGCGGCGTCGCATGATGGCTTTGGTTGACGCTGGCTTCCGCAGTGTTCATGTTCCACAGTTACCACACAGTGGGCGATTCAGGAAACTCTTCCAACCTGCAACAGATGTACATATACATATATTTGCGCGCATTGATGTGGATATTGATTAGACAAAACAAAAGCTATTCAACAAATACGGCTTTTGTTATTGGATATTCACAGGTGGGAACGGAACAGACTTTCCTACCCCGTCCCGCTCAGTTATTGTTTTTGTGTCTTGCGTCGAACCACACCTTACGAACGTTGGCCAAAGCACCACACTCTCCCTCGCTCTCTTTTAACTATGGCAGTAGTACTTTCTATCCACGACAGATATAATCAAAAACTGAATGCCCTAATCTATTCGGGAAAACGAGACGTTTTTTATTGCCAAACTCTCAGGCTATAGAAATACATAGTATATACTAAATATGCACATATGTATGCATATGCATATGCTGGTACATACATACATAAGTCTGTCTGCACCAGATGTGAGGGGTTGATATGGATTCAAGAACCTATCTACACAACTGAATGATCTTTTGCCTTTTACACAAAAGCACCGGTTCAATTAAATTAATCAATTTTATTTATTAACTTTAAGAGACACAATGTTGTTTTTAAACTAAATTTCAACTTAGAGGTGTCAAACCATCGAGGGCACTATCGATAGTATCGATATTTTACTGATGGCCTCTACTATCGACGGTTTTGAGACTATCATGATAGTATCGAGCTACAGTCGTTGCGTTTTTAATATGTTTTTAATATGTTGACAAGTTCCTAAAAGGTTTCAATGGTTTTTTAATAATTATTTCAGCCCGATACTATCACGATAGTATCGATTGTTTTTTCAAAACATTCGACGTTGATATTCCTCGATATTGATATTCCGTTTAATATTACCAGCTAGCTGGGACTCTCAGCCCTAAACAAATAATTTTATCCGATAGATACATACATTTTTTAAGAGATTGGCAAGTTTTCAGAAGTCCTTTTTATTGGATTATTTACATATTAAGGTTCAAACAAAAACAGCATAAAACGAATTTGTCGTCGTTTTGTGGCGTTGCCAGACTCGTGCAATTCGTAGTTGCTGCGGGCTGCCATACCGTGATATTTTGTGATATGAAATTCGTCAATTTTGATATTCAGTTTAATATTACTAGATAGTTGGCCCTCTCAGCCGTAAACAAATAGTTTTATCCGATAGATACATAAATTTTGTTCAGGATTGGTTAGTTTTTAGAACTCTTTTTCATTGGATTGTTTACATATTAAGGTTCAAACAAAAACGGCCAAAGCATAAAACTTAAATGTTGACTAAATGTTACGTCAGTGTTGCTGGTCAACCAAGTATCTTCTATGCGTATGTACTTTTGTATACCTTATTTCTTTTAATTGGTGTTAAATGTTTTGTTCCAAGCTCCATTGAAACATTATTTATGATTTTATCCTAGATTGACATGTTTTTTACATATTAATGCACATGTTTGTGTGTTATAAATACATTTATCCCGGTTCTGATACCTATTATTGGTAGTCGTGAGCTGCAAAACTTTGTTAAAATCTTTAGAACAGAGACTGAGTAGTTTTTGCATTAATTGGAGCCTGAAAATTCAAACAATATCTCAAGTCCATAATATCCATTTTCCCAAGGTATGCAGATTGTTGCTCATTCCGTGCCAAAGTTGCACAACAATGCTGCTACTTCATTTCCCCATGTTGCTGAGTATGGAATGACGCAACAATGAATCTTTATTCCATGCGCGTTCCCGTAAGATACATTTGATTTTGTATGGGAAAAATTTCAGCAGCATGCTGCCACACCACGAAATTATGGGAAAGTCTCCACAAAAACACTCTATTCTCCACTGAAAAGAATACTCCACGAATTGAGAGCGAAAAATGTCAGTATTTTTGGTGCGCTAAATTGAGTTTGGCGGTCAATTTGAAATGTGTCTTAATATTTGGAAAAATAACTTGATTTGTTTTGTCGAGTGACCTCAGAAACCAAGAACCAGTAACCAGTAAATAAGAAAAAAAAAAAATTAATAATTAATAATTTGTTTAGCCCGATACTATCATGATAGTATCGATTGTTTTTTTCAAAACATTCAAAGCTATCGATGGCTCAACTATCAATCGTTTGACAGCTCTCCCCCTAAAAGAAAGACCCCCCGTTAACTTTTTCCCATTCCCCCCCCCGGGGTTATCAAACATTAAACCAGTGTGACCGGGGACTTATCGGTCAAATATACCGAAATATACCTTCTCATTTCAAAAATAAACTGTAAATATACCAATGGAAAATAATTTAATATTTGTTTTTATTCAAATTTTATTAAATACAAAAGTAACAAAACCGTATTTTCCACGGCTCGTTCTCGATGATTCTCCGCTTTAGGTTATTTCGTATATTCAAAATTGTGGATGCCACAAGTTTTAGTCTTTTACGGGGGCGCCACGGGTGGAGCGAAATTTTGAAATACACTTATGACAGTAATCTGGTTTCAGTATTCCACCTCACAAGATTACCTATAAACGATCCTCTCAAGCCTCTACAAGGAACAATCCGACCCTAAACATAGCCATCCAGCCTCGACAGGATTTTTCGAATCATCTCAAAATTTCAAGCGTTATTACTGGACAGGTGGTAAACGCTTGCCAACGATTGAGGAACTATAACAACGTTTTCTGGACGAAACACTATATCTTACAGATGTAGCATTTAAAACTAGGATTTTCCGGCACACTAAAAAATTCAACAGGGCTTTGCGTATGAGCTAGGAATTCTTATTAATAGACTAACTTACAAGAATAACAGATAATCACAGTTTATGCGGTTTTTGGACTGCCGGGCCGCTGCTGGGCCGCAGCAACAAGCTCGACAGATTGCTGTAGGGCACCTCAAATGCCAAGGAGAAAACGATGGAAACCAGGTACACAATCAGCGTGAAGCCACAGGACATCACGGACTGAAAGAAATTTGTAAGTCGGTTAAAAAGGCCGAACTGGCACCAACGACTGATTATAACCCACCAGCATGAAGGGGTCCGCGTCTGTGCTGGCACTGGTCAAACTATATGTGAAGGTAATCACTAGCGGATTCACCAGGTAAATGGCATACGAGAGCCGATTCAGATGCTGGAAGCACTGCGCCTCAAGCATGCGCGACCACCACACCCCAGTGCCCGTCGCACTGCCCAGAATCATCCAGCACACGGACAGGGAGAAGATCCCTCGCCCCAACACGAACAGCGAGGTGGTCAGCATACGTCCCAGATCCCGCCTGACAGTCGCGTAAATGCAAGATATGAATACATTTAAGGAGAAGTGCCAGAGCCAGCGAGTCTGCTGTTCACTCAGCTCCACATGTAGCCGCCGCTCCAGCAGACACCAGGCTGCGATAGCCCCAATAATGTAGGGTAGAACGCGCACAAAGGGACTCGTATAGATCTGGGTACCGGTGGCGTATGTTGAGTCGAAGGAGAATTCGAACTTGTGGTTGATACCAATGCCATAGGACCAGGTTATGGTGGCCAGGAGTCCAGTGATCGTTAACAGCTTGGCAACTTTCGGATGTCTGTGCGAAAGATGAGCGTAAAGGATATACATACATATGGATAAATGTCACTATAACTGATCCTATCCGATCTCACCTGGCATAGACAAAGAGAATGACATTTGCCACTAGGAAAAACTGCATGTCGCAGGCCAAGCTCCAGCTCCAGTTGACGCAGAGCTCGCGGTGATCGAACAGGTTCTGGATGAAGAGCAAGTTCCTCCACCAGTGCTGCGTGCAAAGCTCATCGTACCGCTCGTTGATGTGGTATACAGAAACGTCTCCGATGTAGGCAAACGCTAGGTCAACGCTGCCCATGACAATGAGGTAGAGGGGGCCCAGCCTCAGGTATCGGTGGAACAGCAGCTTGCCGAAGAGCTTGGCATTGCCGCATAGGCCATTGCGACGCACTGCCTCCATTTGCTTGGCATTCCGCAAGAAGTTGTAGGTCTGCAGGAAGCCACTGATGTCGTACGGATCCAGAGTTCGATTAGTCAGTAAGATATGTGAAAACTGAGGGAAACTTACCTGATGGTGAAGAACACATCCACAAGGAGGGGGGCCGAGGAGACGTACTGGAAGAAGGCCTTCTCAGCGTACAGCAGGAGCACCGTCTTGTTGTGGACGGTGAAGTACATGTACCAAACCACATGGAAGACCAGGATCCAGATGGCGCACACCGAACGCAGTCCATTCATGATGGGAACCTCTCCGGAGCTGTTCTCCCTGGTGGCTAAGATCTTTCTCCAATTGCTGGGCATATCGTAGCAGGAAACGAAACGCTGCAAGGGCTGCCACTTCAGCATAGTGTCCAGAGCCTGCCACAGCTCCGATTCAACTGGCGCCAGTCCGGGATTGGGCTCATCCCCACGCTTGGCTACGCGCAGCTGCTGGGCACAAAGCGTCAGAGCTCCAGTGACCAGAAGCGAGGCGACCATGAGCTTGAACGACGCTCGCTGGAAGAACTGTTCGCTCCTCAGCTTCAGATCCTTTATGTAGAGCACCTCTGGTCGCATGTCGAAGATGTCGTTATCGATGAAGCTACCATCGGCCACATACTCCCTGGCCAGCTGTTTCACCTCCTCCGACTCGCACGCCTTTGGCAGGCAGAGACCGATGTGAAGGATCTGTTCCGACATCAGCTTGATCTCCACCTGCCATGGGGAGCTGTGCCGCAGGTAGATCACCCGGTAGTCCATCTCGAAGGGAGCGCTTTGCGTCAGAATGCTGTAGTGCATCACCCGCTCGTAGTTCCTCGAGAGCGTGATACCCACTGGACGCTGAACACCTTTGCAAGCCGCCCGGCTGCCCAGCCAATAGTTCTGGCCAAATACGAAGCCCGACGGCTTGGTCCCAGACGCGTCGAGCACTGAATTGGGGACATGGGAGAGCAAAAGCGATAATTAGCGTTGGCTGGAGACTTGGCACGAATCGACCCAACTCACCTTTCATGGCCCACGGCTGCTTGCTGAGGATACCCCGCTGCACCTGCTGCAGCTGGGTATGGCACGCGCCATTCACATTGCTTTCGTTGGCGGCTTTGGTCAGGCCAAAGATGACAGAGCTGAGAATTGTATGCGCCTCGGGACGTCTACCTAACTGAGAGCTTATTGGTGGCGGAAGCAGAGTCGGCGGAGGGGCTTGGGTGACATTGAGTTGTCCATAACTATAGCGATGATGTCGCGGCGTAGACTTGTTTGCGGCAGCATCAGCAACGAGTGCAAAGATCCCAAGTATGATGAGGGCCGCTTTCCAATCTCTCCCCATGCCGATCGACCGCTAACGAGCGGGAGCTGGAAGATGACAGAGTTGAAGAGTTTGAACATTTATTTACCCATAAATACTACTACCCCACAAGTGAGAGTACGTGTATTGTCAAGTCGAGACACATAGTGACAATGGCGGCCCTTTAGGAGTGGAGTGGCGTTAGTGGCGGGGAGAACTCGTAACGTCTGAATGCAAACACGACACACAAACATTGACAAAAACATTTACTGAGAGTAAACTTCCTACCGGAACAGATTCGATGCATTTTGGAGCTTGCCTAACATTAGCTGACGCTGAACCCGAAACCGAAGACCCCCCCAAACCGCGGAGAACTCTTAAAGAAGGCACGGCACGGGGCCTGGATAGATGCTTCGAGCAGAACACGTGTTATTCCAGCAATCCGACTCTCAATCGCAGAACATGGATTTGCTGTGAGTGCTGGAAGTGGCATTGGACAACGGTTGGAGTTCAATTCAAACATCATTCACTTAGCCACATCCGAGGCTTGAGTGCGACTCAATGCCATCCCGGGACATAGGCCATATTGCAGCGGATTAGTTTTATGTTCAAGCGAAAAATCGCAACAACAGAAATACCCAAGTGCTCGTACAGATAATGGGCTGGACGATCGTTACTTGAAGGTTTATGGGTTACCAAAATGCACAATACCCTTCGATCTGGTCACTGGCTGCTGATTCATTCGATCTATAGTATTAAAGCTCAAAGAGCTAACAATCTATTTGCTCAATAGTATTGATTGTTTATTATTTCTCCATTTTGCAAAGCTCAACAATTAGAGAATTTAACCCTAGTTCAATGAGGTATTAGTCATTCCTTTCCTTGGCGCGCCCAACCCCTTGAACGTGTGACAGAATTTACATGCACACATTTGAGATTCTAGCCAAATTAGTGTTTGCCTCAAATACTTATCCCATTCGGGCAAATGGTACAAGTATTTGCTTAGGTCTCGCATGCTGATCGACAGCCAGAGCCCTGGGGCTTTTTGCTATACTCGTAACGCATGCGTGGACAAAAATTGAATAATATCCGAACATTTTCAGTACTGTTCAAGCAGTTCCATCCAAACCAATCCATTCAATTCACCCCAACCCATCTAAGACGCGTTGTAAGCCGCGCGGCAAGGGAGTTTGCATTTTATTGTATGGCAGTTAATGGGTTTTCGATGAAATAAAACCGTTTCAAGGGTAAATCTCTGCGCTCGGCTCGGCTCGGCTCGGATTCGCATCTCTTTTTTTGGCTATGCAAATGAACCTTCACCTTAACTTTGGCAGCGAATCGGGTCCCGATCGAGAGTTATTCGACCAGCTTTGTCCACACTTTGGACAAACGATGGTTTTGTAACTAATATTAGTTGCGTGCTGACTCCGGTTTTGCCATGTTTGCGGGCTCGAATTTGTATGGAAATGGTTGTGTTTGGTTATTAATGAAAATGGCATAAGCAAGTTTGCTGATTTATTGTTTTTGCTCCTTATTTCTGCTACTCGTGTGTACATATATAAATTTGGCACAGATTGAGATTAGTTTTTATGGGTCGCCACTCGAGTTGATCTTAGACTCAATCCGGATTAATTTTAACCACTGATAAAAAATCATTACGTTTGACCTACTTTCCGAGTTGAAGAAAACAAATATGCAATCAATACAGAACTATCCTTGAGTTATTGATTTTATTCGATACGTTTTGTTGGGTTTGCTTAGCTTTGTTTATTTGTACTATTCGGAATCGAAAACAAAATAAAACTCCTGCGCGTATTTCAAATTTCCGTTGAAGTTTTTGTAGTTGATCCGCGCAGGTTCGCGTCTGCCCGTGAAACTGTGTCGCCCTTCGCTGCGGCTCCAACCTTTATAAACTCCGTAAGCGCTGGAAACACGTGAATAGATATCAGCAGCAGCAGCGGCAAACCCAGCGCCAGCGCCAGGGGCAGCAAATTTGACAACCAGAAACACCAACAAGTCCAGCGATGAAAGCGAAATTGTTGTTCGGCTGCGAACGTTTCGTTAGCTGCTGACTCTCATTGTTGTTTATATTTGGGGCTTTGGGGGAATCTGGCAGACGGCGTGCAGTATTGAGCGCCTGCGTCACGGGCCGCGCTCGGAACAGCACTCATCGGGCAGTTCTGGTTTTTCATTGAGCCGATTGAAGCGTTCATTGACATTGCTTCGATAAGGGGGCGTGTGCGGGGAGCTACCTGAATCCTCATTGCAGGGTAAGCCAGGTTAATAATAGCTGAAAGGAGTCATACGACATCGGAAGTAGTACTTTAATTATACACAGAATGAAATGAACACAAAGGAGCAAGGAGGAATGGAAAGTGCCATATTAAAAGCAGGGTCAACAGGAATTATATCCAGATACGGAAAATTAAATGGAGTTTGAGTTAGAATGTATAATCTTTTGCACGTCACTAGTTTAAAGATCAATTAATAATTAATAATTGTGCAATAGCATGATTTTTAAACTGATTTCTTTTGACAAAAACCTTTGACCAACAAACCTAAATCTTTTCAGTATTCCCAGACTAAGCCCACGCAAGACACTTTACCATCTATGAACATATATGTATGTATATTTATTTACTATGGCAGCTACATATTGTATGTACTATATTTGGGATTTGCCTAAAGAACAAATCCCACTGTCTTATTGTTTGTTTTTAGATAATGCGATTATTAGATTATATAATTATATTAGATTAATTGAGATTAATTGATTAGCTTCGTCTTTCTTTAATGTCTTTTCGTTGTCATTTCTCGTTTCTAAGTTTCTTAGTGATCCGATGTTGATGAGATCTTTTTGAGTTATCCAAAGAGATATATATATATATATGTATGTATGTAGTTTGGTATTCACTGATGATCCAGTTGTTCCTGAGGGTAGAACCTTTAAGATCTTGCGAGGATGAGTCGTCGAGTTCAATACGTGCAGCAGTCGCACAAGTCATCATCCGCAGAGTTTTAAATTGATTTCGCATATATTTTTCAGTGTACTCTCAGCAGGGTCATAGGAAAATTTTAAAATGAAGTTAAAATGAGTATAATCATAATTATTATTGTAGTTCTCCTTCTCCCTTTTACGCTTCCAACTCGGCTTTCAGAGTCAAGTTTTGCTTGTACTTGTTTTCAATAAAATAAACTTGATTATATTGTAGGATAAAGTTGAAAAGTTGAAATATCATAATCACAATCATTCCCAAATAAATTTTGTTTTAGCGGCTTGTTAAGCCGTCTACACATCGTTCTATTCCAATTTCTCGTGCAACAGCTTAAATAGACCTTTTTTGCTCAATGAAGCAATGCAGTTGGCAATTGTTTTGCTTTTATTTTCTGTGGGCTTTCGCGAATTTCCTGACTAAGAGCCAATCGGGCTTCTTCCTCTGTCCTTATTTTAAGAAAAAATTTTAAGAATTATTTGTATATATTTTGCCTGTAGAAGCAATGTTTAACCCAAAAGCGAATACTTTCGGGTTTGATCGAACATGCAACATGTTTGAAATTCCCCGCCATTTCGTGGTGTGAGCTGCATGCTGCTGATATTTTTTCACTCAGATGAAATGTATCTAAATAAATAAATGTATCTAGATACATTTGATTTGTATGGAAAATTTCAGAAAAATGTGAAAGGAATAGCAGCATTGTTCCGAAACATGAGACCAGGCCCGAAATAAGCACAATTCTTCATACCTTGGGGAAATGGATATTATAAAATTGAGGTAATGTTTATCATTTCAGACTCTATTCTATTTTTTGTTTTTTATGCTTTTTTTTTTACAAAACAAATCCTGAATATGATTTCCGATCATGAACGGAGAACGCTTAACCCATTGTCGACCATTGGGTCAGTATTTCAATTCACGCTCAAATATTATAAATTTTCAAATTTGCTTACGCATTTCAGGGGAAAGATATCGTAGTAAGATATCTATCATACCGAAAGAGGATCCACAAGGAGAATTTAGAAACAATATTTTATTCCGCGCTCCTACTCAAGATAATCAACTGTTTAAATAGTGCGGGGTTAGGTGGGTTAAGCTCGTATTTTTCATCGGTATATTTAAGGTGTATTTTGAAAATCAGAAGGTATATTTCGGTATATTTCTGAGGGTCAGTCACTGCTAAAAAGCGACGCGAAAAATGAAAACGCAATATAAAAAAACAAAATTAAAGTGAAAATTAAGCGCAACTACATCGGATTACAGGTGCGGAAGCCAGTTAAACAATAGTCAAAGCGAACACAAGAAACGGCGCAGCGCCAGGGAAGCTGAGGCTTCGAGAAAAGAAAGCAATAAAAATCGATTCTTCAAAGAAGTCACAGCACAGCTACACAGCACAGTCATACGGGCAACACTTTTTCGCGCGGGCGGTGTACCCTGGAATGGTACCTGGCGTTACTTTTGCCTACAGCTCGCCAATTTAAAGAGGCCTCGAGAAACTATACAATACATCCACCCATTGCGAGTGGGGAGAGTGGGGTGGAGGCCATCCCAACCTGTGCACTGTGTGCTATGCACCTGCAATTGTGTTTGTGAGAGAGTGTGTGTGTGTGTTCATGTGCGAAAAGATTATTCTATTCGAGTGTACATTTATTTGTTTGCGAAACAAACGCCCCTAAAAATCGGACAGGACATTCGAATCATAATCTTAATTAACTAATTTTGGGCAAACATTAGAGTGTGTGCTTCGCGTCGTGTCGCGCAAATAAATAATGCTAGCTAGCAAACAACAGTGAACAACACAGTAGCGCATGTGTGCTGTATTGTGTGAATGTGTATGTGTGCAGTAATAACAAAGCAATGACAAAAGTCAAGAATGAAAGGAAAATATGACTCCCCCCAGGCACAGTCCACCCCTCGCATGACGTATGGCTGGATGTGGGTCTGTCTGCGCGGCGCTAATTGAATCGCTCACACAATTTTGGCGCACTCCCCCCATCTATAGTCAGCTTAGAACCTTACAACTTCCACCTGCCTTATAGATTGCGTGCGCACGACTCCCCCGAGGACAACAAACCAGCCAGAAATATCCATAATAAAGGAGACCCAACTTTGCCGTCCGAACGGGGCCCAAGTGAGAGTGAGTGGTGCATGAATCACTCCCCCGCCCGCATCAACATCCACATTCATCACCAGATTCGAAGCCTTCGCGATGTCTAGTGATAAGATCAAAGTTGCTGTAAGGGTGCGACCCTTCAATCGCCGCGGTAAGTACATTTTCCCTTGGCGATAATCCTCCATCTATGATAAGCTCTGCGGGGTTCTGCTGTACAGCAGTATCCCCCATCCTCCAACCCCCACAGGTCAGCTTCTAGAAGAACAATGCCCCACGTACTGTAGTGTAGTAGGACTGTAGTGCCAGTGCCTCATTCAATGCTCCTCTCTTCTCCAAATCAATAATGCAAACAGGCAGCCAGCAGACAGGGACGGTTTTTTAGGCTAACAAAATTTACATGGCTCTTTGGCGTTTCCTTTGAATTTCAGTTTCGTTTTCGTTTTTCATCCACTGCTGCGACAGCAAATTTTTGTTTTATACGAGGCACTCGCTGCACTGCAGCGGACTGTCCCCTGGACCCTGGCCTGTCAGCAGCCTGTGTGACTTACAACGATTTTCGTTTCGTTTCCAGCTAATTTTGTGTGTCTCCCATTGCAGCGGTGAAGTGTTGCAAGTGCAAAAACAAGCAAGAGGAAAAGAAACAGCAACAACAGTGTCAGTCAGCATTTCCAATGTCAACGTTGATCATTCATTTGGCTTATCCATGACTCACACGAGGCGCAAGCGGAAATGAAGGAAGACACTTTTGCGTGTGGGGCAGAGTGAAACAGGCACAGGCCACAGGCAGAAGCAGACACAGTGTGGGGCAAGGTTCGCTCGGATACTCGTATTTAGGGACTTTTGAATGGTGGCATTTGATTGTATAGAGTATCCCCGAATATTGATAATGTTTTTTTTTTTTTTTTATTAATTTCATGGTTATTTTTACTCTGTTTCCCTGTCATGTCGCTCGCTTGTTATTCAGGTTGATTAGGTGTCGCTGTGTGACTCTGACTGTATCTGTATCAGTATGCGGGAATCGTAGTCACCAGAGTGTCTGTGATAAGCAGTGCAGAAATGTTATCTTGGTTGATAAACGTGTGTGTGACTGGTGGATGTTCCACATGAAGTACAAAATTAGTCAATCTTAGCCATCGTATTTGGGCCATGTCCGAAGCTAGTGACCCCTCCTCCAACAGGGGCCATCAAAGCGTAAAATGAAAGCAAACACAAATCCAAATCCAAACGCAAACGCAAAGAAACCAACACACACACACAATCAAAGCCAATGGCAAAGACTGCGTCAAACGAGCCAAAATGAAGTCACAGCTCTGACCAGAGCAGAGAGTTACTACCAAAAAGCTTAACCTGTTTTGAACCGTGCCAATGGCTGTGAATCTGACTGTGTGTGTGTGTGGATGTTAATTTCAACATTGGATGGAAAATACAATAGCAAACAACGGTCAACGGCAAGAGAAAACTTTATCATTATCGAGACAACTTTAAGGTTATAGACAGGCAAGGCAGGCTCTTACCAAAAATCAACTGACCAGAACTACGCGTAGTTATACAAATGAGAGCCCATCAAATAATTTATGACACGCCTCCCTTACGTTCATTACGGGGCAATTCCATATTTATGATACTATGCAATACTCGCCAAGTCGAGTCCTTTGTGGCTCTCATTTTCATGTCTTGTCACGTTTTCGCCTCAGTGTCGTTTTGTAATGTAAACCGGAACGGAAGTACCAAAGGCCAGGCCACACCAGGACGTGTATGCATACATACATACATATGTATCTAAATATATACATACAATACAAGTAAATTTATATATAGATACATATGTGTGCGTGTGTGTGGGCTAGAAATGTGTTTGCCTGTCTGGACAGGGCAGGGAAGGGCTTTGGCGGTACGGTTATGTTTCCTTTTGCCTGTTTTGCTTTGTTTGTTTTGGCATTTGCTCTCTGCCATTTCGAATGGTTCTGACTGGAAGAGGCATGCGAAGGACA